TTTTAATTTATTTTTGTTTGTTATGAATGGGTGAGCTATTATCAAATTACTGTCTGAAATTATTTTACTTAATCTTTGTTATTATTCTTTGCTTACTTTGTAAACAAAACCAATTAGCTTCAAATAATTTAAATGTTTTTCTAAATGATTTCTGTGCATATTTTTCATTTTATTATTACAGTATGTACTTTTAGGCACTGTAATTTAAACTTTTCAACTGCTTGCTGTCTAACTTTCACTTTTCAAACACAAGTGAAAGCTTTAGCTTTACATAGTGCTTTAATCCGTCCTAAACCATTCGAAAACCGCAGTTGCAGCCTCTAAACAGCCTAGCGCCGCTTATTGCATCCTGTGCTCATCCAACGAGCCTCAACTTTTCTGCCCTGTGTACACTCACACACATGTATATATAGTATGTTGAAGTGTTATAAAATGGTGCTTATTGCATTGTGAGCGGCATAAATATTCGCACACACGCGCCCAGAAGCACTTGCTGGAATGGGATGTATTTTCTCCCCGTACGCCGCCGCAGTGGTCGCATTTCCCAGGCGAGTTGCAGTTATTCATAATCGTTTGTCAGTTGTATGTGTGCCTCTGGCGTTCATGTATATGTTTATGCACAGACACACACACAGACACAAAGCAACCACAGTATGCGGCAAAGCAATTTTGGTAAACGCTTTTTGGGCGGACAAGGCGGCGTATACGTAATATATTATATTATACTCCGCACTGACCAGAATTTGTTGTAAGCATACGCGAGTGCAATAAATAATTAAAATCTGGCATATTACCGAAATGCTGTGAATTGTTAAATTCAACAATTGCCATGTCGACTAGTGTATTAGTGGCGAATTTGTGTTTGCTATGATTAAATACGTCCGAATTGCCTACTTTTGTGAGTTGTTTTAAAATGGAATTTCTCCTGCTTTTAATTTTAGTACTAAATCTGAAAAGATCCAGTATTATATAAAGAAAACATTTTTTAAATAAAAATAAATCTTAAACCTTAAATTTAAAAGCAGTTCGTGTCTCCACATATATTTATTGATTAGTGGTTTGTATTGTACCTCACCTACATAGAATAAATGGCATTCATTCACTCTCACAGGTACACTCTTTTAGTCATTAGGGCCTTTGATTGGAGAAACTGGAGGAGCAACCTTTTTTGAAAGCTCACCCACATCCTGCAGAGCCTTGACTATTTAGCCCAACTTCCAAAGAGCCCGCAGCAGCGGCTAAACGCCTAATGGGCGACCCTTGTATCCTCGCATCCTCGTATCCTCGCCACGTTAAGTGGGGTTCATGAACTCCCACTATTCCCACGATCCACCGCAACGGTCGGGCATTAACGCCAGTTAGTGTTCCGCATCCGTGTTGGCGTCTATATAAGACTCGAGTTGTTTCGCTCAGCTTGTTGTTGTGTTTAGGGGCATATCGGATGCGAGGGTTCTGGGTGATTAAATGGATTTGATTTCCCCCTTTTTCATGCAACCAACCGACGCCTGCCGTGGGGCCAAACTGTGATTTGAGCCCGTGCTTAAGATATTTGAGGTTGGACTCCATTTAAAGTTAACTCAATTCCATTTGCCCGGGGTGTGTATTCAAATTTCCTTTAACTTGATTAAGCATGAAAGGTATTTTAAGGAATTTAATGAGAGTGCAAGGATATTTGTCCACTCGTTTGAATGCTGCGAAAATGTCATTAGCAGCATATTCTCATTCCATGCAATTCCCGCTTAATGCAATTTAAAATCAAATTGCATTTTATTCGAAAGACTCTCCCTTCCCGTCGTACTTCATTAGCAAACTCCTCAACAAATTCATTATGGCTCTGCAGCTGCCAAAAATCTAGGGCAACCGAATGAGGCAGCCGGAGACCAGACATCCCGGACGGCAAACACCTCCGTTCGTCCCAGTCTGTGTCTCCTCCGTATCCGTATCCGGCAGATGCCGTCGTGTGCGACTGTGTGACTGCGACTGTGAGTGCGAATGCGAGTGTATTCTGGCGGAGAAGTGTTTGTTTGAGTGCGGAAATATTTAAAGTGTCACATACGCTCCTCGGAAATTAAATGTGTGTGTTGCTTCACGCTCCAGAAACGAGCAGCGGAAGTCGGCGACCTACACTGCGCCACCGAATTGGGGGAAAATGTCTTTCAAGTGGCTAACCGCACAGCCTGCGTGCGGCTGCGGGTGCTAATTTACCCATGTCTTAATGTGGGTCCTAATCGCACAATTAAATTTGGTTGCTTTGGCGGAATGGAAATGCTGCATATTTCGGAATGTATTTGTATTTTAAAGTTTAATTTAATAAAATCGGAAGTTGCAAAAATGTTGAACAACTTTAAAATAACTCGAGGCTAAATACCAGTGCAGCTATAAGCAGAAATATCTTTAAATTTTATATTCTGTTTTTGCCATTTTCCTGAATTGTATTACCGAATTTGATCGTACTCCAGTTGGGTCCCCAAATGGTCATTCCTTGGGTCTCCACTCAAGGTGCGATACAGGGGCCCGGCTGCTCAGGTGGGCGTGGCCATCCAAATGACGCTCATCGCTTTTGTTAACCTCTTTCACCTGCTATTTGTTTCTGGCATTCTCTTGTGTGTTTGTTTGTATGCCTTTCACTGCATACTTTCGAGTGTTTGTTGTGCATATTTCCGGTGGCCATTTGTCGGAGGGCGTGAGTGTGTGAGTGTACTGGTGTGTTCTAGTGCTCCAGTGTGTATTGGTGTTTCGAGTGTAGTGCGGTTGTTTTTGAGGGTTTTCGTATGTTTGGCCGCTTTTGTGGGTTGTTTTGCGGTGCGTATACGTAACATTGTCGCCTAAACACACATGAATATATATTTAATTATATTGTCGGTGGAACAGTGCTTTCATTTATATAACTTTCGGGGCAGAGTTATACTCGGAACTGTTCCACTTATTGTTTGTTAGTGGCGCACTTTAATCTTATTTCCTTACCAACAACACCGCACGTTTCGGTTTTTCCATGTTTTTCATGGGATTTCCCCATTGCACACTTGTCCAACTTTTAATTAAGCATTTGTGCTGGTCTGGTAGCATTCGAAATTTGTTTGCTCGACTTTCTGTTTGTTCTGCAGCGAATTTCGCGTGACTCTCAAATTATATTTGCCATGTCGCATTTTGATGATTTCCTCCGCTGGACGCCTAACCGAATTATCGCGGTTTGCATGCATTTTAAATGAAGTCAATGGCATCAAGCAGACCGCCGATGGGCTTATAATAATGCCACAGTGCGGAATATAATGGGATCAAAGTTTTGAGCTGCTGCGGGAACACCAGCATGTGTACATTTATTCGCTCAAAAAAGAATATTCCGTTTAAATCGTTAAAGCACTTCTCCTTGGATATGCATACACTTCAAGATCACACTTTATTTATTGCTCATACGTCACGTGGACCGTCAGGAAAGCGCTCTAAGCGTTTGCTCAACCAAGTGGGATTACATAATAGAAACCGCAAATAAATATAAAGCGAAGCTGAGCTGCTTCGATTCAGATTCCGACTCCGATTCCAAATCCAAATGCAAACATCTGTCTCCGGCCAAGGCAATTGGAGCTGAAGAAAATAATACAGATGGTAATATTTAAATAGTTACGAGTTCAAATAAGTGAGATCTAATGTTGACAGAACAATAATCTTAATACATTTATAAATAAATTAAAAAAGTGTAAAGCATCTTCTTTTAAATTAATTTATAAAAGACATTATTAATAGTGTAATAGTTATTTCCCCAACTGTGCTCTTGGAACAACCGCAAGTAGAGCAAGAGTTAGCCAAGGCATCTTGTGAGCCGCCTTCGGGCATACGCTCATGAGTGCCACTGTCCCCCCACCGTGCTGAGCTTTGCCCCAGCTCGAGGCTTCTTCATGGGGGGTCGACTGTGCTGTCTGAATGGAGGTCAAAGTGCATAACTTAAGTAGCCGACAATAAAATGCATAACATGGCGCTCGAAACACAAACAGACAGAAGCCGGCAGCAGCCAGCAGCAAAGGAAAACTAAGTACAGACCGTACGAAAATGTGGAAAATATGGCTCTATTTATTTGTACATTAGGCCATGCCAGCCAGCCAAGACGTTGAAAAACCCCGCCTGCCATCCGAGCACATCCCTTGGCCTTTGAGTGCGGGATCGAGCGTGTGTTTCCTGTGGCATGTTGTACCTGCCTCAACAGCTGCTAGCAAAAGGCCAAGTGTTGTGCTTGACAAGTAGTACACACAAGGCAGGAGGCACACAGCACAGGGATTTCTTTATATCTTTTTTTCTAGCTTTCTCGTCCTGTCTCCTTGTCGCTCCCGCTGTGCCATAATAATTTCATGCTGGGCTGGACTTAAGCAGAAGCCTGCCGATTTATCTAATGCGGGTGCGGGAGAGTAACAAATTTATTAAGGAAAACAAAACAGGGAGCGAGTTTAAAGAGGTTACGAAAATCTTGGCTGACGGGGACTCTTTAAGTGTGTGCTAAAATTAAAAAATAAAGAAAAGAAAAATAAATAAATATCTGATTTTGCAAAAGAAGTTTAATTTCTGATATGCTTCAAGCAATACAAAGCGAAGGTCATAAATGCTTACCTTAATTTACAAATAAATTTGTATTAAACATTTGTTTTCACGAAACTCTCGTTAAATGGGATTTACTCGGCCCCTGGTAGAATACTCGATTGCAATCAGCGAAACTTTCTTTCTTTGATTCGCGATTTTCGGCATTAGTACCCATTGTTGTCCATTGCTTACTGTCCGCTGGGAGAGAGCTGTGCACAAAAGCCAACCGCGTAATTAAGCTTTACGCTCGGAGAGTAAATACGTAAACAGCAGCAGCACACTCACTGGCACGCACACCCATAACCGCAGCGAGCCACCAAATGTTAACAATGCACATTACGCATACGCCACGTTGCGTTGATGTTCCGCTTGCTCTACTCCCCTTTCACGCTTCTTATGTCTCTCTCACTCTCTCTATCTCTCTTTCTCCGCAGATACCAGGACATGTACAACAATCCGATTAAGGCCACTAATTTGGAGCACCGTGATGTGGTCCTGGATATTCTGTCCGATGCCCGAGTGGTGGGGCCGCTCCTGCAAACGGGCATGTTCCACGCGGATGTCAATCGGCGCAATTATATGTACGTATTCGGCCATAACAGCGCCACCGGACCCTATGCCCACGTAAGTATTAGCCTGCCAAACGGCGACTCCAATTACATACTCTACAGCGCATTTAATTTAAACGCTTGCGGTCTAGTCTAAATAAACGCAGCATGAGTTGGCATCTAATGAGTTTCCATGATGTACTTGTGCCCTCCAAACCGCGTCCTTCTTCCTCTCGCAATTTCCCTGCCCAATAATGGAACAATAATGCTGAAAAGTTGGTGGCACTGGGCTGGGCGGAGTTTAGTTGAGTCCATCACTGGTTGACGGTGCTTGTTTTTGGCCTTTTGGCCAAAACAATTCACAAGTTTGCAGCTGCCAGCGGCGAACTGCCGCGAATGATAGTCATAAAGACAATGAACCCCGCAGCAACAGAAACGGAAAAAATCGAGACACTGAAAAATATATTCATAAATGTTTTAAGAAAATCTAAGCCTGAAGAATATAAAATGGAATGAATATCGCGAACTAAAAAGATAGTTCCATGATTTAAAATATTTTTAATTGTAGTTACTTCATATTTATAATTCAAACGCTCAAAAATAATATTTTTTTCTCTGTGCCATCGAGAAAAAAGGGGAAAGGGCCTGAAAATCCAAAACAAAAACATCGCCAGACAAGTTGAGCTCGTGTCCTTTTGCCAAGCAGACGGCATCTTCTTGACTTAGGGTTCATTTGTGTTCTGCGAGGGGTCACTTTCCAGGAGCCAGCAGTGGGTGGCTGAGACTGTGACTGGCCATGGTTATGGTTATTTGTGTCCTTGTCCCTCTGCCGGGACTTTTATGGCTTTGTCATGCTTATGGATTTGTTACTGATTGCCTCGCCGAGATAGCTTTGTGTGGCCATGAAGCTGTCTTGGCCTCGGACCTACGCTACTCTACTCGAAATGGGCATATTGATTTGTAATTAAGATGATTGGATTGATAGGCAAATAAGGAGGAACAGAGGGACCCCGGTCCCGGTCCCGGGACATTTTCCTGGAAATCCTTTCAACGCTTTGAGGGTCCTTTGAGCTTTGACTATGCGCTATCGCAGAAATTCATAGAAATATATAAATTTGCTGGCCAAATGCGAATTGCTCAGCAGACGGAGACAAAACTTGGGCGAAACAACAAACCATACAAAAATAATGAATTTGAAAACAACTCAAACAGGGCTCCAAAAACAAAAGCGACTCTGATTCCCCCTTCACCGCCTCTTCAAAGCGAAAAGTTATTATTTCGTATTATATTTTTGGCAACTTTTAGCTTTGCGCTAAGCGAATTTTTATGATCCTAGTTGGAGCAACCACTTGGCCATAAAACAAACTGCAACTGCAAATAGATGAACAGCACAGGGGCATGGCCTTTTGGAATGCGACAACAGCTGGCGGGGCTGCCGGGGTTAACGGGGGGCAACAACTTTTTAATAGCCCGCAATTAAAGTATGAAAATAAGTCTGATAAATTGCCAACGGTTGCCATCGAATAAAAGTAGCCAAATCACACAAAAGAACATGTTTATGCTCTCTGATATATGGCCGGATTTCGTTGCTCGTTCCTTGCCATCGCATTAGTTGCGAATAAATTGCGAGAATAAAATTCACTTAAATATTTCATGCTGCTGCTGTTTGTATTTGTTGTTGCTGTTGCTGTTGGGAGCCAGAGCCCGAAACATGAAAAGCGGATCCCAAGGATATATTCGGGTGTGCCTACAAATTATCGCTGGCTGTCGCCAACGCAACCTACTCGCTAGCTGGGTTTATATCCTGTAATCGTTGGAAAATAGGGGTTATGGGTTTATTTCTCTATTTAATATGGCCAAGGGAATTCAGTGGAAAATCGAGCTTAGCTTTTGAATAAATATCAATGCCATCAAAAGAGGCCTGACTTTTATGTAATGCTTTCTTTTGAAACTAATTAATAAGTATTCACAGGTCTAAACGCCCAACTTTAGCATCCTTACTTGTTTTATTTTTTTCGGGCCAGACAAGCAAACAGTCAGACAAGTTAAGGCCCACACAATCGCACAACACATTCTGGCTTTTCTTTTATTTATACCAACATTTCTCTGTTGCCGCATTCTTCGTTTGTCAGTGGCGAAGCCAAAGAACTCGCAACTGAATGCGAATGAATTTGTGCATAAGCTGCGCTTCTGCACTCCATTTCGAGGAGCGTCAGCCACTCATTCACTCACTTGGCCTAGACCAAGCCCACAGTCTCCGAAACCACATCCTGCCGAGCAACCCCCGCTTCTTTGACTATCAAACGCGGGCCGCGGGCATATTGCAAAACTTTTTGGCACATGTCTTGACTGTTTTCCTCAGCCTCAAAATGGGCCGGGGAGACTACTTACGTACTTGGTCTTGAGGAGGCCGACCATCATCCCACTGAGACGCTGCTGCGGCTCAAGGCGATTGTTAAAAATAGCGAGAATTATCCTACAAGAAGATAATTCTGCCGAAATGGGCTTAAAGTAAGGCCTAATTGAATTTAATCCCACGGCCCAAATACAATATCTAATGAAATTTTTGGACCTTCACGTGGCATTTTATATCTCAAAAATCATGCAAATACTTTTCCTTTTTTTAAGTTATAAAAACTGTGGTCTCATTAAAGATACATTTGATTTTTACCCCGACAATCCTCTGATATTCTTAACTTAATTGCTTGCAGAATTTGTAGACTCGGGAATATTTTCTGAATCTCAGATAATTCCCAGTAAATGGGGTCTGGGCTTAAAGTACGGCTTAATTGAATTTAATCCCGAAGACAAAACGCAAAATGAGCACACAAATAAACAACAAGGGGATTGGAGTAAAAATTTCTGCTTTGGAGATTTCGCTTTTTTTCTATTTTCCCTTTGTAATTTCCCCAAGCTGAGCAATAAACTCAGCGAGCCGAAAACTTTGGCAAAACAAGTTCCAATTTATTTAGGCACAATTGAGGCAAAAGAGATGAAAACGACCATTCACATTGACTTCGACTTGAGGACAGTTTAATAAGTTTTCCATATTAAATTTAGCATTTTCCCCAGTGCCCGCGCACACTCACACACACACAGACTCAGGCACGTAGACAAACGTCATTATCATCGCATTCTAAACGCGGTCAGCATCCCAAGAATTTTCCGCAAAAACCCCGCAAACAAAAAAAAATAACTTGAAGTATGTCCCGTCTGGTCCGCTTCTTTTTTTTTCTCCTTGGGAAAGTTTTTTCGTCGACTATTTCCTCTTCCCCCCTGTGACTTTCTGATAAGAATGCGAAATGGTTGAGGAAGGAAAAGAAATTTATGAAAATAAAATAAATATGACTGAAACTAAAGTTTTTATTTTGGTGCGTGGACGAAAGTTTGCGACCGCAGTCCACACAAAAAAGGATTCGGCAACTCGAGTGTTTGGCAAATACCAAAAAACGTGCATATTATGCCCAATGTATAGCACACTTTTTGGCCTTGCAGAGGCAAAATATTTAATTACCGAAAACCAGAAAATATCAAATTAAAGGAAACCGGGCCCCAGTCTTGTGTAATCCAATAAAATCATAGAAAGATGAGAGCAAATTGTGCGGCAAGGCTTGCCCCTGCCCCCCCCCAGCAAATTCACGCCCAGGCAACCTTCGTCTTCCTGTTCCCTTGCTTTCCATAAGCGAGGACCCTTTGCCTTGAGCCAATTCGGGGGAAAATATTTTTGGAAATTTTACACGCTGCGAGTGCCATTAACTCCATTAGGTTTATTACGACAAATGGCGCTAAGTCAAATTGTTGCTTCCGTTGCCGTGGGCACAAAAAGGCAACTTTACGCAGAGTGGGCGGACGAGCAGGAGCATAAATTACGAAAGTTACGCATTTATTTCAAATTGAATTTCCGCCTTCGTTCCGGTAATTTTTTAATTTGCAACTTTAAAGCAAAAATCGCTGGCCGATAATAATAATAACAATAATTTGTTACAGGAAGTGCCCACGTTTCGGCCAGAGGAATAAATTCATAAATTAATTTCGTTGAATTTATGGACACTCCTTAATTATGCATACGCCGTGGAATAATATTGAATGAGCGCCGGACTAAAGCGGATGTGTTTAATTGAAATTTTTAGGATTTCATGTCAACATTGACAGTAAAACCATATTTATGGAAATTTAACTGCTTTTTTGTTGCGATAAAGCAACAAAGCATAAAGGCAATATTTGCTTTAGCAAACACTCAATTTGATTGATATCAAAACATTTCCCGTCCATTTCTCTGGCTTGTCAACAAAATGGCAAGCGTAAAAATAAACATACATTTGTGGACCACAAATTCTATTTCAATCATAAAAGAAAAGCGACCTTAAAGATTCGTTTTGATTTCGGCGCGCGGTCATCGAACCAAGGCGCTCTACAACGAGCTTAGACTAAGCCTTGCCAAAGAAACCAATATTGAATTCCGTTGGCCCGTTTCATCAAATTCTCACACAATTGCAAACTGAAAATCAAAAGCGAAATTCATCATTCATAAATGCCATAAAAGACTTGGCGATGGCGCTGAGGACATTGTCCAAAGGACATCTTCCAAGAGGACAGTCGCCGGCTGCTTCAGGACAGTCCCATTTTTGATGTCCTCAGACAGAAATGCTTTGTGACTTTGTTACATTTTTCATGGCAACAATAAAAACTTGGCTTTATTACCTACTTACACACAGCAATTCCTTCTGGCGGCCATCTCTGCTCTCGCTCCTCCTCCTCCTCCTCCTCCTGCTGCCCGGGGCACCAAGCCTGTCTTCGGCTGGCTAAATATTTATGCAGGCCGTCTAAGAAGATTGATGCTGCCTGGCCACAATGGCCAACAAAAAAAAGAGCCATAAAAATACTGCTGGAAACATTTCACACCGATCTCCGAGTCACCGCATTCCTAACCGCATTAAATCTCGGCAATGGGTATACAAACTTTGTGATGAAGGTTGAAAAGGTTAAAGGCTGTTAATCTCTTAAGTAAATTCTGTTTAGGTTTTGGTAATGTACCAGAAAGGTCATCACAGATTTATATAATTAATTTAGTAATAAGGAATTCTTGCACTCAAATTAAAGCCTAATGTAATGGAAATGTAACTTAGTCTTGAATTAGTTCATATAATCTTTAGGTAATACTTTTGTTTTAATATATTACAATTAAAAAACTGTAATGATATTAATTCTATAATTTAACAGCAATTCAATCACCTGTTCTTGTTCCTTTATATTCCACTTACTTGCTCAAAACAGACTTAAAGGAAAATCTTTACCGCACTTTTTACCTACCCTAATGCCTTATTATTTATGGCTTCCTTTGCTGCTTTTGCTGCTTTAATACTCTGCGTTTTAGAGTATTCCCCCAACGGTTTGATTTACCGACCCCAGCTGCACTCGGCTACATATATATATTTCACTTACAGCTACCGCATAGCATTATGGGCGAGGAACTGGCGTTTATCTTCGGAGCTCCCCTGGCCCCCGCCGGCCCCTTTCCCAGCGGCAACTACACGGTGCAGGAAAAGCTGCTTTCCGAGGCGGTAATGGCATATTGGACGAATTTCGTAAAGACCGGGTGAGTACTGGCTGCTGGCCACTTCTTTGGTAAGCCAAAAGGCGGATGTGAAAAGTGCATTTGGAGAAAGTTAGCGTGGGGATTCTGGCGAAAGGGTTGGGCGGGGCCATCAACACCAACTCGAGAGAGAGAGGGGTCACAGTTCTGCATGCAAATGCTGATGCGAATCCGGATGCGGATGCGGATGCTGTGTGGGATATTCATGAGTCCCTGGAATGGCTGCGACTGGTGGCTTTGGTTTGGCAGCGCCATCGGAGGCTTTGCCTTACACTGTGGCACGTTCTGCAATCTGCAACGCTTGGACAGCGAAATGAATAGAATTTTTACTGCCGCTTTTATTATTATTCCACAGCATGGCGACGGCGGTCGGCGTTCGGCGGGACATGCAAATATTATTAGTTGAAGTGGCCAACGCTCGGGGGTAAAAATAAAGGCTGGCAAAATAGAAATGGGAACGGGTGTGGCAATCAAAACTGGAATCAGAGATCGTTAGCAGGACGTTTCGGCATTCGGCTGCCGGCCAAACAGCGGCAATCTCAGTCAGGAGCTGGTGTGGTTATTGGCCATAACCATGTCATTTAAATGAGCAAATGAACGACCGGATTATGTCGATAAAAAGAGATTCCTTTTTTTTTTTTTTGGACTGAGCGGGGGCCATGCATGGAAATTAGACGATAACACATCGAATGTTGTTTTCATTTTCCTCTCTAGAAACCCCAAGGCTCCGTGGAAGGGCATATTCCTCAACTCCCATGCCCTTGAATGGGATCGTTATGATCTGGACTGGCCGGAGTTTAATAGGAGAGGTCAAGCCTACCTCAATATAGGTGAGTGTTAGGTTCTGCATTCCTTTTTAGGATAGACTTAGAATAACAAACATTTTTTTTCCTTTTCAGGCATTCCGCCTACGGTGGGCTACAAGTACAGACAGATCTACATGAACTTCTGGAACAAGGAGCTGCCCGATGAGCTCAACCAGATTGCGGCCATTCAAGAGCAGCTGCATGGTCCCGGACACGAGGTGATCACAGGACACATGAGCAAATACGGACCCAGAGACAGTGGAGGTGAGGACCCTGTTCGGACCCTTAAGCTTCTCCTGCAGGAGCCCAGCCTGACTGGGCCCGGTCAGAGCGGCGAGTCCACGGAAACGGCGGCTGAGAACATGTATAATGCACCGCCGACCTTCGGACATGTCCACAAGGTAATGGGAAGCAGTGACTTTGAGGATGTGGTCACCTCTACGAACCCTTTGAATAACGAAGAGAATCCACAGCAGCAGCCCCCCGAGACGGTGGCCAAGTCCGAGGCCACTCTGCAGCTGCTGATAGCCCTGATAGCCATCATCATAGCCCTGAATCTGGTCATTTACGGAACCTTTCTGCTGCGCCAGCGTAGACGAAGGATCAAGGCCCTGCCATTTCCGGCTCCCAAATTGGGAGGACACATCCTGAGCTACGACGGGGCCAATGACGAGGAGCTGAAGCGATGCAGCAAGTCGCGCGATGGCGACGACAGCTTCGTGCTAGAGATGACCCGGAAATCCAACACCTACGAGGCCATCAAGACGGGCCAGAGGTCGCTCAGTTGCTCCACCGTGGACACCCACACCAAAGTCTGCGAGTGGATGTCTGGCCAGGAGGCTCCCAAGTCGGGCAGCTTTGCCACGTCCACTCCACCGCCGCCGCCCATGCTACCAGACGGGCGCCTCATCATTTGCCAGGACATCGAAGTGGCCGATGCCGCTTTGCTCATCCCCCAGCACATGCACGAGCCGCAGCACTACGAGATGCTGCTGCAGAGGCAGCACTCGGCTCTCACCGAGCCCAGCGACGATATCCTGCAGCAGCAGTATCACTCGCGAACCCACTCCCACTCGCATTCGGATCCGGTGGACATGATCTTGGCGGCCGACGAGCAGGTCACCAGCTTTGTGCACGCCGACGATGTGGACATCAATGTGACGAGTAGGGAGGATACCCATGGCCTGGAGGCCATTCCCCTGACAACTGCCCAGCAGCTGGAGCTACTGAGGCAGCGAAACTACCCGAAGGTCCTGCCCACCGAACAGGATATACGAGATTGCAGTTACAAGCGCAACTCCCTGCCGCCGCAGAATTTCAATGCTCCGATGCCGCCGCCAAGGACTATTAGCAGCACTCTGGGCAGAAGGCGAAGGGATAGCAGTAATGTCACCACCTCTCCGCTCCAAGTTGCCCGAGACTGTGGAGCCGAGGAGGAGGAGCTAAGGGAACCCCAGATCACGCAAAATACTCTAATTGTGGGACCCATTGTGCCCAAATCGCCGGCTACCTCGCTGAAGCGGGCAAGGAGGGCGCCGGAGGCATCAGCTTCAGCTTCGGCGGCGGCGATGACCGCGCTCAGTGGATCCTTTCAGTCCTTCGAGTCGGTGCCACCGGCCCACGAGACCACACCGCCGCAGGGTGAGCGCACCGAGTGCATTTACGCGATTGAGGCCAGTCCCACAAGCTGCAGCTGGTCGGCGCCCAATGGCGACTTGTACGCGCAGCCCATGAAATCGCCCTCGAGGACCTCCCTCATACCCAGGCCCACCCACAACCAGGTGACGGCGCCCGGGGACTGTAGCCAGGCGGCAGGTGGCGGGGCAGCAGAAGGAGTAGGAGTCGGGGAATCCCCCGGAACTGCAGCAGCGGCCACGCCAAGCCGCATACCTCAATTGCAACGCCCAGCTTCCGGCAAGGATTTCAACACAACAGAGAACAACGCAAATCCCGTGGGTTGCCAGCAGCGAACCGATTCCACAATATCATCGGGTTCGTCGGCATCCAACGCCTCATCCTGCGACTCATCCACCTCCTCCTCGTCCACGGGCACTGTACGCACCGAGCTGCAGCAGTTCCAGCCGCAAGGCAGAAGTATTACGACCAATATATAGAAACACCCGGGAGCAGCAGCATCAGCATCAGCCAGCCAAGAAGTCCTCCGGAGGATTCCCGGGAAGGCGCACCCCGTTGTGCCCGCAATGCGGCGACAGACTGCTGGCTGCCAAATCCTATCCGATCCTTGTCGGCAGCCCATCTCCTTGGTTTCCTCGGTCGGAATTTCATGGAGCCTGCGTGAATTTAATAATACATCTCGCTGTAAAGTTTATCTTGGGCTCGTGGTTAAAGCTCCGACTTCTGGCATTCTCTGGCCTTTCTGTGGCTAACTTTGTGCCGGCGTAAAATAGTTGCGAAAATTGCACTGGAGGTTGCCCTGGAGACTGCAGCGATGGCTCCCTGTATTGATGTAAAGAGCAATAGCCGTAAAGGAAACTAATTTCGAGGAACAAATTGCACAGAAATGGAGTCTTGTTGGGAAATATTTAAAGAAATATATATAAAGGTTTATAAACTTTATGAATATAAGCTACAGTATTTTATAAAACTAGTTAAATATTTTAAAATATAACTTTTATTTAGAGAGTTTAACCAGATACGAAATAGGAAATCAACACAAGGAACCTTTACAAAATAAAATAATATTAAAATTAGTTTTTTGTGCACACAAAAACCACACAAAAATGAAAAAAAAAGTATTATAAGTTAACTGATTTTATTCAATATTTTGTAAGTTAGGTTAACCATAAGACAACATGCGCACACTTAGCAGCACAAAATAGGAGAAAACCACATCGATGAAAGCAATTTGTATGCGGCTGATTTTACATTTATTCCCCTGACAACCGACAGCAGAAATGGCTGCAGCAGAAATTGCCAATAACAAATGCTGCTCGAATTTTGCCACCACTCACTCGCTTACCAGAAGTTGTGTCAACTATTGTTGCCGCCAATTTACCAAACAAAAGCTACTTACAAACATTTTTGCTCCTCTTTTATGCTCCGGCTGCCGCTGTTCTCCTCCGGGCCAATTTTTGTTGCCAATACTTGCTAGCCGGGCTGAGGCAATTTCGCAGTGCCGCCAACTTAATTTGCCACAACATTTCGCCAGCTATTTCACTTGGAAAAATATTTCACGCCCCTCGGAAATTGTTTGTTGTTTTGAAAATAAAAGATAAAAGTAGTTTCTTTTGAAATATAAGTAGTTTCTTGTTGGAAATTAGATCTAGACTTGGCTTAGAAAAAACGCTAAGCAGTCTTGGGTGTTATAAAATGTAGAATACCATTTAAATTTATATTTAAAATTATTTTTAGTTCATAAACCTCAAAATAAGAATTAGTTGATTCCATAGAAAAATATATAAGTAATTTTAATACAATAAATATATGAAAAATTTCAAAAATCCTTGATTTAATGAATTAATTAAGCTCAAATTGAAATATATTTATTCTATGGCCAGATGTAGATGTATTTGATATTGAAATTACAATAATTTTCCTCAGTGCAAGTCAGAAAGACACACGCAGTGGCAGGCTAGTTGGAATGAGGGGCTCTGGAGCCTGCTGGAAATCAGTTCAAATGTCAACATTTCTGTTGCTACACATATTTCAAATATTTGGCGTTTCGTGCATAGTTGTTAACTCTTCTTCAGCTGCTGATCCCCTCAGCCCCCGCGGCCAGGACATCAAAGTTGCCGCTTCCCCTTGACACCGGAGAGAATAGTTGTGCGTTGTGTTGCTAAGCTTAGAGCCGTATCCTGTAGGATTTACTGCCTTGGCAGAAAAGTTTTTGCGTCGGCTTTTATGCCTTATTCCCTTTGTGGCGCATTTGTTTTCTTTTTTTTCGGTTTCTCTTTTTTTTTTTTTTGGTTTTGTGCTGCGAATTGAGTTATTGTGTCGTTTTTGCCCAGGTCCTTTATGCAAATTGTTCTGTCTTCGAGTTGCTGTTGTTGTTGCCCTCGACATCCTTATTTTTCCCCTTTTCACAGGTCGACGCAAAACGTCGAATCTGAAAGTTTGTCGCGAACTGCGGGCGAAATTGAAAATCTCCAACATAAACAGGACAAACAGAAATGTTTTCCCCCCGGAGGGCCCCCGCAAAATTTGTAATTAAATTGTTTGCCCCAATGGATTGTTTTTACGTTTTCATTTTGGTCCTTGCAGTTGGTTCTCCTCCCACGGGCATTGGTCCTTTTTTGTGCACTAATATTGTTGGTGAAAGGACTGTGGAAAGGAGCCCTTAATTATGAGAAATCCCCAGTCTGAGCCATCTAATTGAGCAGCACAAAAACATCTTTATCACCGGTAGTCGTTTGATCAAGCTGAGACCCTGAAATTGGTATAATGACCGATGGACCGACTAGACAACCCGATATGAATGGATGCTGTTGACATTTGTTTTCCGTACAAAAGTAGAACCTGATGCTGGATGCTGCTCCACTTTCCATTTACTTGGCTTCCCTATCTATCCATCTGAGGGATGTGGCCAGTTTTTCGCAATTTTCTTTGCCTCGTTTCTGGCCGAAGTTGATTTTCGCCCATGTAGGACGAATTCCTCGTGCCAAGTCTCTGTGTCTCTCTGTGTATTCTGGCAGTGGCACTCGAATTTAATAAACCCGAAGCTAACTTTTGTGGCAAGCTGTAAAGTGCTAAATGGGGGAGTCTGTTAGTTTGATAAGCGTGTAATGGAATTCGTGCGAGCAATGGAGGGACAACTCTCTCTATTCTTAATCACTTTACCGAATATTAAAAACACTTAAACCCCATTAAATATTAAGCATTCGAATCAATTTAGTAAAATTTACCTCCCATCTCGGTTTCAGCAGCCTGAATAATTCATAATCTACCCAGAGTAACCGCACAAGCCGAATAGTTTGGCCCAACAAATCAAAGTTCTCGGGCACAAGCAAAACCGAAACAGAAATAGGAAAATAGGAAAATGGTAAAAATTAAATTCCCAAAGCAGCTCAGTACACTGGATGGACCAAAATTTTGCTGACAACCGCAAATTAGAGTAACTCGAGAGTATATTAAAGTCAAATATGCAGAGGGCGGGCGAACCATAAATAACAAGAATGTAGGGCCAAGTACAGCGGGGGGATGGAGGCGATTCATGCATTAATACTCGTATAACGTTCTGGTCTCTGATTTGATTTACTGTTCGGGGACTTCCCCCGCTTTATGGTCAAATGGAAGGGCCGGAATCTAACCGAGACAAATGCAAAGTTATGACAGGAAGGCCATAAGGAAGGACGAAAAAATAAACAAAAACAAAAGCAAGCACTGGGTCTCTTGTTTTTATCGGCTTAAACTTAAATTGGATACGCAACGGATTACTGTGTACATATTTAATCTTATTTAATTGAAGCTAATTGAGAGCGACGTGGCTAATATAAAATGCATATGCCGTACACAATGGTTTTAATTGTGAACAATTTTTTTTTCGTTTTTTAATTAAGCAGCTTTATGCATCATGCCTAATTAATGCACTTTATTATTATTATTATTCGATTATTTATACTTTTGACGATTGTATTTGCACTGGCCAGAGGTTTTCGATTCAATAGCCTCGCACAATAAACTGGTAAAGCATTCCAACAAAGCAAATGAGGACTATGTTTGAGTCCCTGTCCCCAGCAAACAAAGTCAATGCAAACAAAGGCAAAAACAGCGGCAGCGACAGCAAATAAACAAATATGCAAATTATGTTCGGTATTTTCCCTCTTCTTTTTCGTTTGTTTGACTTTATAATGAAAATATTAATAATTCAGAAGGTGCCAAATAACACAACTGCATGCGGACATGAACAAGTGTAAATAATTTAAGGCGCGGACAATTATTGTAGCTTATCCCCATTATTATGATGAAATTAAACAAATAAAAGATATGACTCTGTCAGTAATAGTGTGAGATTAAATCACCTGAGTTGAGTACTTTGATTTCTTCAAGTTTGCTTTTGGTGAGTACAATAATTACCATATTTATTGATAGAAATTCCTCTTGTTTTATAAATATAAAAAGTCTGTGACATATAATTTGATTTTGGGAACTAATTTGCCAGCAAATAATCTCCCAAAATGTTTATAATAACAATTTTAGCCAACAAAAAGAGAGTTGTGAAACACAATTTTCGGATCAAACGGAAATTGTTTTATTAATTGCATTTTGGTGACTAGACAGGGAACGACAACAACAGCAACAAAATTAAGAACAACAAAAGTCATTAAGGACATCAAGTGCGTAAACGGATTTGCTGGTTGATAATTTCGTGCTGCGAGAATTAAATGTAATTTTGCGGTTGAATTTGTATGCCTGTGCGCATGTGTTAAATGCAAATTATTCGCATCGAAAACCTCAATGCATATAAATTCGCAAATGAACAGAAATCGCCTAGAACACAGGGCACAATAATAATAACATAAATATTTAATTAAACACAATTTTTTTGTGTTGTGCCCTCAGTACCATCTATTTTTTTTAATTAATCCGCCCCACTGTTTATTTGTTTGTTCTGCGGTCGAGAGTTCAATGAGTTGTAAAATTTCGTTGGCATAAAATAATATTCAGCAATTGATTTAAATTAAATCAAAAAAATTGTGACTGTTTTTGGCAAAATGTGTTTGAGTGCGTTTTACATTTAGTTTATATTCATATTTAGGGCTTTGATCAATTAGTAGATGGTAGCCCCTGTTCTGTATATCAAAAACATATTTGAATGGCAAACATTGTGGGCAATGGCCAAAACAAATGTTTCTCTATCTGCATAGCACATTGCATGCAGCTAAAAATGTAAACAAGTGCCCCATTTGCATTTACATCTTTCATAGTTTTGTTGCTTTTATTAAATTTATAAAATTCAGGCAGGATAGTAGCTGCTACTGCTGTTCGGAAGGATCCTTGGCGAGTCAGCACGCACTGGCGGAACATTCCCTTTTACGTATCCACAGGGACACTCACACGTATGAGATTTATGGCAGAGCGCGTTTTATTTATATATATTTTATGACTTTTGTTATTTTCATATTTTCCTTCGCTCGCTTCTCTATCATAAATATTTTCCCTTTGCCATTGCTGCTTCTCGGAAAACGAAAGCAAAACTACAATTACAATGAAAAAACATATAGATAGGGGGTGTCCGCAGGCCAAAAGGAAACTTGGCAGCAGATCCTCTAAAAGTAAATAAAAGTGTAGAAAAGCGCATGGAACTTTATAGGACGTGACTTGGGTAAGCTCATAGTGGGTTGAATATCAAGTAAATAAAATTTTAAAAAAATTACTAAAATTATAAGAGAGCTAGTTTTGAGAATAAGAAACAAGAAGACATGCAGAATTACAAGAATAAAACAACCAAAAATTTATAAATTATATATTAATCTATCTCAAGGTACAATTGTAAGTTTTCCACTGTACAGAAAACAGAGTGCGCCACTCAAGCATGGACATTGAGTTTTCCAACGCCCACAGCGCCTGTTCCTGCTCCTCGTCCTTGCTCCCCCACCACCCATCCCTTTGAGTGGCAATTAACGCCCATGATATTGCGCTTCGGTTGCATGTGGAATGTGCTGGCAGCATGTGGCGTCATTGGGATCGCAATGGAATCAGCATCGACGTTGCCAGCGCGCTGGGTGTTAATGCGCCAAGTCACTCCGCGCCACTCGCATTGGCAGTCGGCTGGATTTTTATTGTTGCCTACTTTGCAGGGCCCTTTTGCGTTTACTTGGCATTTAATTTGCTTATTACCAACTTACGCAGACAAAGCGGCCATCGTTGCGCTCGTTGTCGCCATCGTTGCCCCACTTTTGTCCAAGTTTGTTGCAATTTGCAATTTGGGTCGTTGTCTGCCTCTGCCCTCCACCCTCCGCCCTCGAATCTTCTGCCTCACGCACGCACATTTGTCGCTAATTTGGCGAGGCAAGTCTTTTGGCTTCCTTCCACGCAACCCGCAACCCGCACTCCGCACGCCCATCTGCCTCGGAAAATGCACCCTCCGCGTAATTGTTTGGCACCAATTGTTTTAAATGCTCGACGAGCGCTCACAAATTGCTTCGCCGACGCCGCAGCCAGTTAACTGAGCTGAGTGCACTTACACTCTGCTGTCAACAGTTTGATCGAAATCGAATAACGTTCATAAAATCGTAAAGATTTTATGCTGAACAAATGTTTATTATAGTTTTGTGGGAATACAATGAAAGCTTACATAAATTATTCATATTTTAATAACTCAGTAAATTCCATTCACTGCAATTGCATTTTAATGGAATCCCTGTTAAAATGTTTTCCAAACAAATTCCTGCAGAAGTTTTAACATGGATTTTTATGGGTTTCTTTATAACCCATTTGTTGTGCTCATATTACCAACTAAATAATTCTTTAATAGCAGCAAATAAATTCAACAAAACACATTAAAATCGAACAAAAATAATAATAAATACTCGATGTAGTTTTATCAAAAGCAAATATTTATTTTAAGCTGTACTTACGCAATCAAAATGAAGTTTTGCTGTCTAGTGTTGCCATGGCTGCAAGAAATTGAAAATGTTTATATTATAAACAAAGAGAAGCATGCCTGCTGCTGCTGCTGCGTGTTTTTGTGCGTCGCTGGCTTGAACTTTTCCGCTTTCAAGTCGAAATCGATGCGCATCAATATTCAATATGTTGCTTTTACTGGCGCCACGGCCCCACTAGCAGTTGAACCCGCGGAATGGGCGGCTGGGAAGGCGAAGCCACAAGGAGCAGAAACCCAATCATGCAACGCAGTTTTCGCCATCTGATGTTTGCTTTACGTAATGGAATTGTGCGGTGAATGCCGCGTGCCACATTTTCGCCTTGTCTTGCTCGATTCCACTTGCCCTTTCCCCCCCCCAGTTTTCCCCCTTTTCAGCCTTTGTGACTTATCGTGTGTGCGAATTTTTCTTGGCTCACCATATGTCGGATCCATCCTTGGAAGCCCTTTCAATTGCTACCCACCGACGGCACCCTGTCAACATTCCTTTGCTGCGCTGTTTATTCTCGATTTTAATTAAATAAAAATATGCATATGACGACTGGCAGCAGCAGTTAATGGGAAACTCGACTATATAAGTTGATTATAATTAGTATATGCTCAGCGCAGATGCGTTCCACAAACAATAAAATGGCCGAATGCTTCTCTAATTCCATTTGGCAAGTCAATTGCCAGGGACGTTGATTAACAACAGAAGATATTAATTAAACGAGCAATGCTAATGGCAAATTGAAAGCCTAATGAATCCATTTCGATTTGGTTTGTATTTCGGTTTGGCTGCACTTTTTCATTAGCACTCTTCAGTTAGACGGATAGATTGGTAGATGGATGGATGGATGAACGGATGAATATTGCGCATACGCCGTGTTGTGCAACAAAGCAGACACGTGCTCGTATTAGCAGCCAGCTAAGTGCTGTTATTCTACAGTTTTACACCACAATTACCAGCTCCCACACACACGGGCAACGTGTCAAAATCGACACCATCACCACCCAGCAGCCATGTAACACCCCTGGAACATCCATACCCACGGATTACACCGCCCTACGTGTCCCGGGATGCCTGCGTACGTGTCGAATTCCAAATAGCAACGCCAGTCATAACTGTAAGACAATTTCTCCGTGTGATGTGATGACGGCTACGTTGTCACGCAGCTGAATGGGAAGCTGCCGGGAGTGGAGATGCCAAGAAGAAGTCTGGTTCTGGGGGACAGCTTCCAATGGCAGGGGGCGAACGTGTAGGTGATGCAAAGCAGCGCTAGTTAGTATGTCATGTGCATGTTGGCATATTTCGCTGGAGACTTACCTTCAGGTTTGCCAACTCATCCTCTAAATTTTTCTCCCCCTTCGAGGCGTTTTATACCCTTCCTCAAGATAGGCAAGCATTTTTTTGTCGTTTTGTGGAAGATCTTAGTTCTTAAAATAAATTTACTTTCGTCACAAAAATAACAAATTTTTTACTATAGGAATTCTTGAATATTCTTAAATTAAAGCGCAAAGAGCATTTCTTTATGTATTCATTTCAGTTTATTTTATCCCCTTTGTGGCCTTGCACCAAACTTGTGTAACAACGTAATCATATCAGGGTGACACATTCTGGCAACACCACCCACACCACCCCCTAACCCCCACCCACTCTTCCCACTGCCCATGGAGTGTTTTCTCGTGTTTTTCAAAAGCGCTACGACTTGTCCTTCCAGGCTCCTCTTGTTGATGCTGCTGTTGTTGTTGTCTTTTTTAAGCATGGCCTTGCTGCCAGGAAGGAAAAGGATTGTGCAAACATCTTAACCCACTCAAGAAAAACGCCCAAAAATTGAATTTAAAGTAAGCTGCAATCTGCTTAAGAGCTAATCACACGATTCAGAAGCTTTTGTCAGCCACAATTTTGTGATTTCCTTGTGGAAAAATTCAAGTAAAGTCAATAAATTTATTATTAAAAGACTTAAATGGATAAATATAAGGTGTTTATTAGAATTAGGAACTTGAATATATTTTTGCTTAAATAATAAGCAACATTTTGCTGCTGTGCAATGGCAAATGGTGTGAACAAACTCTAGACAGATTGTGGAACATGTGTCAGGTGCACACGACCACGCCCACTAGAACATCAATATGGTGTCAATTATTTTTGCGCAAGCAGTCAACTTGTTTTTCGTACAATTACACTAACAGAAAATACAAGTAAAAAGCAAATAAAACAAATATTTGCAATAATCTCATACTTACCTATAAACAAATTATTTTTATATTGCCTAAGATTATATTAGTAACCATATATTTTTTATAAGTAACAAAATGTTTTCAAATCAAAGTTCAAAGAGTATAAATTTTTTTAAAAATCTTTCACTTCAGAATTCGAAATTAAGAATATATTTTAAATATTATCGCTCTGTTTGTTTATTAATTATAAGTACTTTCAAGCTGGTTTTATTTTCTAGAATTTTAAAATTTATATTTTTCAGGGCTTTAACACACTTTAACCCACTCAACCGAACCCCATGAACCCATTTCAAGTACGTCAAACCTTTGACACATTTGCAGTTGGTGCTGTGCGGGATGACTTGAAGGTGCGGTCGCTGGGGGAAATGTGGTGTCCCTTCGGCATAATGAACACACACACCCACACACGCTCTTCGAGTGGAGCACTGCCAGCGGTTGGATGGGGGGGAAAAAACGAATGCCATCAGCGATGAGAGTACTGCATGTTAATTGCCAAAAATAAAGTAAAGCAGGGGCGACAACAATTCCGAAATGGCTGCCTTTTTTTCACTTTGGCACAAAAGTATTTTAATTGCTTTGTACAGAGGCGGTAGGAGGCTACGAGGGGGCTCGGATAACGACACAAATAAAGAGGAATTCTCAAATGGAATTTATAATCACCGGAAATGAAGTGAGGTGAGTGGTAAACTTTCTTTTTCTATATTAATTGAATTAACAAATTTACCATTGGCAACGTTTGGCTTTTCACCCAAATTCTGAGCCACAATTGTCGAAAAGCAATTTAAACTTGAATAAGGCGTCATTTATTGTCAGAATTTTAGAATTTAAATTTAATTCACACAACCTTAAATCGAGTTACATTAAGTAAGTTCTAGAATTATTTGCTTAATTGTTTTATTTAAGAAAGAAAATACTGGTGAAGCATTTCATAGGTAAGTATTTTAAATTTAATTTCTTTCTTATTTTTAAGAGACCTTCATTTTAAATTGTTTAAGATTTGTATAATACTTTATAATCATTTTATATTTAAATTTTCCTTTATTGACAGTTTCCTCATAGCTTAGTTTATAGCTGATTTTTTATATTTTGTTTAACATATTTTCCCCGTAGAGTTGCCACAACAAACGTCACTATTTTCAACTTTTCTTTCAGGCCCCCAGCAATGTGAAATCTGAAATGTAAATTAATAAGTGCCTCTTTGAAACCAGACGACGACGACTTCCGTTAAACTGCTCAAGCTCAACAGCTCGACAGTTGCCATGTCGAAGGAAGACTCCAGCACGTCCAAGACGGAGACATTACCTCACGAGGCCGATATTTCTTTGGGTCGCGGACCGCACAGCTCCCAACAGCGCGAGAACTCTAGCGGAGAAAACTCAGGTGGCGGCGGTGGCAGTAACGGCAGCTCAAGCCAGAGCTCGGTGAGCCCATCCCGGGATGGCAGTTCATACGAGCAAGCAATACGTGCTAAGGCCCAGCAGCAGAAACTCCTGAACGATCCGCGCTTCCGAATCCGGCCGACGCAGCAGGTAATCTCGGCCTGCACTGGGGCCATGATTACCGCCTGCTTCATGACGCCTCTGGACGTGATCAAGACCCGCATGCAGTCGCAGCAGTCGCCGTCGCACAAGTGTTTCTTTTACTCCAATGGCCTGATGGACCACCTCTTTCCCTGTGGTCCCAGCGATCAGCCCGCAACGCCCAGCGCACGGTGGCGGCGGCCGCAGTTTCGCAGTACCTGGGATGCCCTGGTGAAGATAAGCCGGTACGAGGGACCCGCTGCCCTGTGGTCTGGTCTGGGACCCACACTCGTCTCGGCCCTGCCCTCGACGATCATCTACTTCGTGGCCTACGAGCAGTTCAAGGCGAATTATAAACAGTTTTACGAGGAACACTTCACTAGCAGGACGCAACAATTGGTACTCAGGTGTGATAATCTGTCCCAGGATATAATTTTTAACTTAATTAATTTTGAAATACTTTGCAGGAACACCAGTGAAAGCCTACCGCCGGTGGTTCCCATGCTGTCCGGGGTAACTGCCCGGATTTGTGCCGTCACTGTGGTGAGTCCCATCGAACTGGTGAGGACCAAGATGCAGGCCCAGCGGCAGACCTATGCCCAGATAATACAGTTTGTGCGAAACGTGATCAGCTTGCAGGGTTTCTGGGGATTGTGGCGTGGCCTAAGACCCACGATCCTCAGGGATGTGCCCTTTTCTGGGATCTACTGGCCGATCTATGAGTACCTCAAGCTAAATCTAGGCAACCACACACAGCCGTCGTTTGGTCGAAGTTTCTTGGCTGGCGTGTTGGCAGGTTCGGTGGCTGCCGTAGTGACCACTCCCTTTGACGTGGTCAAAACCCACGAGCAGGTGGAGTTCGGGGAAAAGGTCATCTTCACAGACTCACCGGCAAGAGATCTGGGCAAGAGACCTGGGACTTTTAGCCGTCTAAAGGCCATCCACAAAATGCACGGAGTGCGAGGACTCTTTGCCGGTTGTGCACCCAGACTGCTGAAGGTGGCGCCCGCCTGCGCCATCATGATCTCCAGCTTTGAGTACAGCAAGTCCTTCTTTTTCAACTACAACGTGCGGCATCACCACGAGACGCTGCTGGTGAGCAATCCGAATTCCGAGTTGGTCAAGAAGGACTAGCGGACGTTTTTTAAAAATAAACTGCTCATATTTTATGTAATTCCCGGACTCCGAACCCAATCCAATATCCCAATTAAGCGGCGCGGCGCTTAACGTGTGACGTCGGAAAATCAATTTACATTTTCACAGCTTTAAGGACTGCGACATGGCGGCCTGTTGCTCGACGTGGGCTGGGTTTCCCTTTGCCCGAGTTGACTTTTAATGGAATATTCATTCATTTGCATTAAGTGCAATTTGAGCGAGCGCAAAGGGGAAATTAAACGGAATGGCTCAAGGTAAACTGGCTTAAAAGCGCCAATACGTTCGCCCGTTTTTCTTCCGCATGCCGCCTTCAAACTGCATTTTCTCATTGCAGTTAATCGAATTTCCTTTGTTGGCCGGTCACGTTTCGCCACAGTTCGTGCTGGTGGCCAAAAATATATATATTTCGGTGATTGAGCCTGCCAGGATAACTATAAATCTCGACTGGGAAATATATATCAAAACTAAACCGAGTAATTAAGAAGTGTTTGTTTGCCTTGGGCCAAACTTAATTGCATTTCGGTAGGGTTTCTGCTATTCGCTCGAATAATTCGGCTATCACAAAAAACTGTCGAAGCGAAAATTGTAATTTTTTTTTTTGCTGTTTTTGTGTTTGTGTATGTCCTTTGTTTTTATTAAAGAGGCAACAAAGTACACAAAGCCCGGCCAAACAACACAAACTACGGAAACAGGATAACAGAGAAGAGGGTTGGGAAGTGGGCAATGTTTTGTTGTTTCCATCTCCTCTTGCTTCTGGTTGGAAGCATAACAAAATTGAGGAATCTGGTGGTAGTGATGAGTTTGGGCCATGATTTTGACAGGGTCCCGCAGTGAGGAAACTCTGATATTATTGTTTATTTTCATTTCGCCGTATTTAATTATTTGCAGCGGGTGTCAAAGTGTGGCCGAAGCAATTATGGCCATTTTTCTGCAGTCAACTTGGTATTTGTGGCTGTTCAATTAATTGCTCAGTGTTTCGAACTGAAACCGCTGATGAAATAATTGGGAAATGGTATACCAAGAGGATGACACCATTCTCTGGCGTATCGGAGTATTATTTTATTTTTCTGAGGCCAATTCTCAACTATTTCAATAAAGAACAAATACGTTCAAGAGCCCCTGTCTGCTTTTGTTACTCTCTTATTCTGTAAAATCACATTATTAAAAATACTTAACCAGGCCCCAGGCCCGAGGGAAGCATATTTAATGCTCAACATTTTATATTACCCCTTTTTTTCCATATTGGTATCCTGGCTGGCCAACGAAAATTGCCAATAAAGCGAATTAAAATATGCTTTCATAAAAATAATGGAAATTAAATTTAAGTGAATATCTCATTTGTTTTCGTATGGCGAATTTTTTTACCCAACCACACCGAAGGACCTCTGGCTACACTGCACTCCTTTTCTTCTTCTTTACTTTGCTGGGGGGCGGCAGCTCCTGGTGTTGGTTGTGGGGGCGTGGCGCTTGTCTATATATTTCCCGCAGGCTGTTGCTCGCCAGTGTTTTTTGTTGTTCAGCATCAAAAATATTTTCCCTGCCGCAAAGAGCAGCAGAAAAAAACATAAAAACAAAATGCGAGGCGAGGCAGGAAAAAAAAGCTGTTGATAGGGAACAGAGCCCTTCATCCGTCCTTCCGTCCATCCCTGTGTCATTGTGTCCTTCAGCTGTCCCTGGGCCATCCTTCAACATTTGCCTGCTGTGTGTTGTCATCCTGTGAATTCCATCGTTTTTTTCCCCTCACTGTATTGTATTTGCATTTAATTGTGGCATTAAAAATACACCGGAATACGTCGGAATACGGCTTGGTCCTGGCCGGGATCCGGATCTTTATTTATGGCCCGTCCGTACATACGTCTGTCTCTGTCGGCAGGCAGTCTATCTCATTTCTGGCCTGTTTTTGTCCGCTCACCATTGACATTGTGTGGGCGTGGCCGTGTAAATGGATATTCGATTTATATGCCCCAATCCCCACTCGCATTCTGGCGAACACAAACAAACTGGGGGCCATGGAAATGATTTAAGATTGGATTACTGGGTGACAAAGTGTGAAGATATTAAAGCCTCGACAGTGTCACCGATTGACAACTAATGAACTGTTAATTGACTAATCAAATCAAGCACGCTTAAGTGGGCGTTAATATTGCTATCGGTTTTCTTTGTTGTTTAGTGTTCGCGGGGGTTAATTTCTTGATATATATTAATTTCAGATAAGTTCAAAGAACTAAACAAAAATTGTTCAAATATACTAAGTATTTAAAGGGACTTAACAATTAACAATTAACAATTTTAAATTATTTTGTAGACAATTTTTAGAGTATAATAAACAAGAATCACTTGAGTTTGCTTAAAGAAACCATTTTTTATAAAAGCTGACTTGATTCTTAAACTTGCAGAACACCTTTTAAATTTAAAAAATTAAAAGCATAATTATTAAGAATGTTTTTCAATATAAAAAAAGGCAAGACATCAGTTATAAATCTCTGTTTCCTCTAATAACATACCCATACTGTAACCTTTTTCTTTTATTATTTCATTGAAACTCGTAATATCCTATTTATAACTATAATTAATAGTAAAATGTAATTGTTCCCCCTCTTGGCTGCATTAAATTGCTCTCCAATTCTCTCCCCCCAAAGGCATTGAGTCAAAGGGTTTTTGGGGCTGCTGCAGCTCAGTTTCAAGAACTATTTGCTTAATTGTTTAATTTTATGCGCGGAGCTTGCTAAAACTTTATTAAAATGCGTAATTGTGTAGGGTAAAATTCCAAGGCGGGAAGCGGAAGGCCGTCAAGCCTCTAGTTAGTTAAAACTTCTATTTTCTGGGAACCAACAACGTTTCTATTTCAGCTTCGGTTACTCTTTATTCGGGTCAAACATCCGTTCCGGTTTGGTCCTTCGCGCAGGCTAATTGTTGGCCCTTTGCAGGGGGTGTAGGGGTAAGCGCTGTTTCTTGACCTTGCCCCGGCAAGTGTTTAATTAATTTCCAGAACAGAGGCAAATAAATGGCAGGCGGTGCCATTGGTGGCACAAGTTCAAAAGAAAATGGGCAGCGGACGGAACTCAAGTCTATTTAAAAATGAGGCTGAATTTTTCACACTTCATGGCCATGCATCATCAAGTGGGTCTGAGGATGGATCCCAGGGCGTCTTTAAAGGGCACAGGATTCTATTTTTTTAATTAGCGAACCCTTTGCTTTGGTTATCCTTTTTTTTTTTGGGGCGGGCCGCCTGTTTGCACTGTACCTGAGCACGCAGGATTTTTAATTAAAAAGCACAAAATTGACAGGATGAAAAAATAATGTTTACCTTTTGCCGGCTTCGCCGTCTCCGCTTTAGTGTTGGTACATTGTTTGACGGGGATTTTTGGCTGTCCTTCCAGGATTTCTTACTCAACTCCAGCAGCCTCTTGATTATTCAGAATGCACACACTCGGGCCCGGGGCCTCCGGTAATCAGCATGGTAATTTTTCGCATATTTTATCAAATGTTTTGCTTCGCGTTTGTAAAAATCTAATTGCGGTTAATTTGGCTCTTTATAAATGCAGTCCCGGCCCAGCCCTTCCACTTACTTAACGCCGGCCACAAGTTATGCGAGGTACTCCCTTGCTTTTCTAGCAATTTTGGCTTTCGGGTTTCCTTCCTCGTGGCCGGCTAAATTATTTAAGCGATAATGGGGCGTAAAAGTCATAACTTTGGGGCTGTAAATTGGGGGCTTTCTTGAAGGTTCCGTTTGCCACGGGTTTTGGGTCTGGTCCTGTCAAGTGCATTAAACATGAGGCAAGGGTTCGCGCCAGCTTTCCGTGTTTTTGTTCTTGTTTATGCGGCCCTCAGAGCTTAACCAAGTGAGATAATTGGCTAAGCTTTGCCGGGAATCGCTTTATCAATTGTTGTATAATAGCCAAATGGCTAGCTTATTTCAAATGTAATTTATGGTAATCGCCGTCTTAATAACAAACCAATTAGAAACTTTCCCATAATTTAATCAGATTTGCCAAGTCTGTCTGCCAGCCTGCAGAATTTGTCCTTATATCGCGAGAGAGCTGCTTCCAGGAAGAAAACTTAAAGATTTTCCCTTTTTAGCTGCTCTTCTTACGTCACGGTACGTCTGCTTCGTTTATGAATAATTCATGAGGTAACTTTATAAAAATAACGCACAATGGCACTAAAACAAGGCAAGTGGAAAGGCCAACCTTTAAGCGGAATTGTAAATGCTCTGAAAGTGACACAAACGGAATTGAGTTGTGATTGCGAGTGATTTAAATGGGATTATGGGGTATGGATGGCACTCTTTAAACAGCTTTAACTTGAACTTGAAGGCATTAATTATAAATATGTGTAAAATATAAAATGTATTTAAAGAGCAGAGCTTACATTGTTGATTGTAAAAGTATATACCAAATATATATATTCAAAATATGGTAATATAAGTTATATAGAATGCATTATAATTGTATAACATATTTTAAATTAATATTCAAACTAAAAACTTTAGTTGATATTCCCCATTTTCCCCTGCAAATACTAAAAACGCGCTTCTAGAAAAGTGCCGAAGAAAAAGTTCTGCCTAGCCCTTACCTTACCTAAGCTCACGATGCTAAAAATTTAACAAATTCTGATATTTTAGAAGCTGCTTGTGTGTGAGAACAAAATATCTTTTATGATGTAGAGAGAAATGTGTATGTGGGATACAAGCCGAAAAGCAGCTTAAAGCTTTAAATAATGCAATAAATTATTAAATTTATTTAAGAGCGCAGAAAGTTTGCTGGGGCAATTTACCAAAATGGTCGCAGCAATCGTTTAAGTGCAATTTGCATATTCAACAGATTTTTTAAACAGAAAAAAAGAAAGAATGAAAAAACCACGAGCAAACGAGACCCCAACATATCATATCATGCTGGAAACTTTGAACTTCACCTTTTGTTTTTTGGCCCATCGCAAACTTTGCTGCGGTCTGTGTGTGTCTTCAATTTGCATACCAAGTTGCCGTGGCGCTCCAACCTTATCCACACCATCCCCCTGCTCAACCTCATTTGGAATTGCTAAATTTTTATTTCGATGGCACCTCGTATGCAAATGAGTTCAGCAGGAAGTGGCGGGCGGATCCTGTTGACCCGGAACGTAGGCACTTCCTCTTCGGACAAGTTGCTTCATTATGTCAGTCGAGCGGTACTTTATATTTGTTAGATAAACAGCGAAAGAGGAAATTAATTAAATTAGCAGCGGAGTGTTGATGAATATTTAAGATGCCATTAGAATAATGCACAAAGTTCGGCACACCAAATTCATTGCGCTAATTGAATATTAAATCTATAAATTGTAACTCGTCTGTGGCTTGCCTTTGTCATTTGCCCAAAAAAGGAATTCACACGGAGATGGGGAGCTGAATAATCTGATAAATATGTGGTAAGCTGCTTATAATTCACGATAATAACCATTAGAATTTCTCAAAGTCACTGCATAATTATGTAAGCAGCTTTGAAAAATGTCATTGTCGTAAGGCAGATACCTCAGTAAGCGGATATTAATTTCGCTTTCGCATTTTAATTGCGACCCGGCACACACACGTGTGTTCTTTTTTTTCTTATTTCGCTTAAATTCCCATCGCTTACCTTGACAACAGGGCAAGGCAAGACATACACATGCCCCATGACATTCCAGGAACCTCCGAAGGTGCTAGGGACAGGGACCGACCGTAACAGCGACAATATGAGCCTGATGGGCAATGACAGCGATGCCAACACCATGGACACATCCTGCAGATGTCAGGCGTCCGCTGACAGCCAGCTTTTGCCGGGCACGGACCCGATCCACTAACGGCAGGAGCCTGTCCGGAAACATTTTTGACTTATGAAATATGCTGAGCAGCGTAGAGCGTGCGGAACAAGCTGTCAGAAGGAGGGTCCTTGCTCTGTGCGCTTCTAGAGTGGTTTGTTGCTTACTTTTGACCATATTTTTGCAGACCAGAGGGAAAGTAATGTGCACTTGGGAAAAATGTTACTTATTCTTCATAAATTCCTACTTTTTATACTTCACTTTTAGTTTTCTTCACTCAAAATTAAGAGTTTTTAGAATTTGTGGCAGCTTCTGTCTAAGTGTAAAGCCTTGTTTCATGAAGTGCAGTGGAGAATCGCTCCTGGGGCTGAAGTTGTCAACAGTTTTGCATCCCCTTGTCCTTCTAATCTTGTATAATGCTTTTTGTAGCCCTTGTAATTTAGTTTGCAGTGTGTGTGTGTTTTTTTTATCAGTTAAAGGCGACGGGGACAACGACTAATGACTTGGAATTTGTTTGCCCGCCAGCCAAATGAGCATGTGTGCCGGTCCTCTTCCTGCCGTCCTCGAAACTCTCTCTCTCTCTGTAAGCCGGCTGTTGTCGCTTCTGTTTGCCATTAACGCCTGTTTCAGGGCACAAAAAAAAAACATATAAGAAAAAGCACAGAGAAAACTGCAACTTAAGTGCAGCAGAAGCGTGAAAATCATTAAGCTGCAGCTGCTGCCCCCACATGCCGACAGACTCTGAGGGAGAGAAAAACTAACTGGGAGAGGCGCATACAAAAAGAGGGAAATGTATCCAAGTCCCACATGACGTATGAGTTATGCAGATAAATTTCACGCCACATCACTCATACGACCCCGTGAACTTTAATTAAATCAAGCACTGCAGCGCGATTTAATGAAGAAATACTTGAACAATTTTGGTAATATTTTTAAATTTTTTAGGGAACTATTACTGGTACTTTTACACAACCAAAAATTATTGTTATTTATTAAATATATTGACTTGAAATTTTCATCAATTATCCAAATACTTTAGTTGTCACTTCTACTCAGTCATTCCCCTGTTATCAAATTGATCAAACACGCTAGAAATAATAAAAACGTGAGTAGCTCAATTCACAATTATAAAATTTAAATACGTATTTACAAACTGGTCGAAATAAACCGCATGGCGGTTGTGTAGGTTTAGGTTTAGGGGTCACCAGGTAGGGACTTTCGATTGTTAACATGGTCCAGCTCTTTGTATTTCCAGTTGTTATATCGAAAGCTGGTTGCCACGTAGTATTAGCAAACGTAGGGTTACGTGAAACTGCAAAGTAAATGAAAATCCACAAAAAATATAGCTTCATTGCTGTTCTGCCCTGATTAAGAACTAAGTCAATGGATCAAGGTGCCGAACTATAAGTCCAGTGCTGAAAATCTGAAGGGTTTCTAAGTGATTTGTTTCACTTGATCGACAGAACCAGAACGTATCGATCCGGTCATGATATTCCATTTGTCCATTTTCAAGCTAGTTGTTTAGCTTTCAACTATTCGAAATAAACCCATTTCATTTGCAAATCGCTCCGCTATATCTTTTAAAACACTTTAACACTTTATTAGACTTCACTGACTTGGTGATTTCATCTTTTCCAAAAGCCATGAAAGTATCATATGAAAATAAGTTGGTTTTAATGGAGCTTCTGGTATTAATGATTGGTTCTCAGGTTGTTGTTTAAGCTTATATATTAATTCCTTCAATTGGCATTCTGTAATATGAAAGTATTATTGAAAATTAAATTTCTCTAGAATATTTATTGGTTTTGATTACCTTCCGTTGTGCATTGGGAATCCCCATCTTTGAACGTATTATACATTTTATTCAGGAAAAGGTCTGAATATCGATAATGTGTGTATTAAAGATTCATTTTAGTTCGTTTTTTTATTTAATAAAAAGCGTAAAGCGCACCTTTTCTATCTCGTTCTTGTTTTAGCGTCTGCTGCGCTTGTATAAAAATTCCATTTGAAATTATAAGAACACCTAACAAGAGTAGCTGCATCTCGATGTTTTCAAACTAACTATAGAACCAAAGTGCATTTTTTTTATACAATTTGAACTACAACTAATAATATCCATTGCTAACCAATTTTTCAGGCATATCTAACCTTTCATATATACTTTAAAAAATTAAAGAATACGCTCACATATCTATACTCTTATCACCAATAATTAAGCAGGCTAAAAAATATAAAACAATTAATTACCGCAGCCATCGAAAGTTTACACGTTAAACACAAAAGACATAATCACGGTCATAAAAGCTCGACCACAAAGCCCATTGAGGCCAATATCTCGTTTGTTTATGCACAATGCTCTTAATGAACAACGGAAATTGGCGGCCATTTAAGAGCATTTCCAATAAAAATAAATCAAGTGGACAAAGCTAAAAAAATATATATGGGTTGTTTAATATGCAAAAGCTCTCAGAACTTCAATTTAATGGCTTCTAGCTATGGCTTTTGGAATGGTTAGAATTTGCCGCTCTTTTACTATGCATTTACACCTGTCCATTAAAATATGAATATTTTAAAAGGGAATTAAGAAAATTACAATAAGTTTGATCAGCTAAAAAAATCTATTTAAATTATAGCACTTAAAGAATTGTAAAGGAAATTGCATAATTTTCTGTTGTGTACGACAACTCTTTTAAAATTGGAGTATTAATCGCTCAATTTTCAATTACAGATTAATTTAATTTATATTTAAAGATCTCTCTCATAATTTAAACCCTTCCAATTGCCTGCTGAGCAATATTTCAGTTTGAATTCAAGACCATCCATCAGTTCGCTCAACCCCAGCAATTGTGCAATGCTTAAAACATCACAGTGTTCTGACATTGTTGGCCATATTTTCTCCCCAACCCGCAGTATATATACATACCATATATGTGTACGGGAGGCTGTGTACGGGAGGTGTGTGGTGGCTGATAAATAACGACGCAATTGACTTGAAATCGCGACCGCTTTTACCGCACTCACTGCGAAAGGGATGCCACCAGGACTATATATACCAGAAATACATTATATTCGGTTATATGTTTGTGCCAGTGATGGGAACAGTTGACATATGGCTTCAAATAAGACTGCCTTTGGCCGTAGCAACTGATCGATGGCGATGAGTTTTGTGGTTCTGTTGTTGTGCACCTGAAGCTCAACAGGATGGTATAAATAAATCTCCGAACCGTGACATCCTTTAGCGATTTATTCACATCACGCGACCATCTCTGGCTCAGTGTGGGTCCTGGTTCTGGTCCTGGTCCTGCTCCTGTCGGACGTGTTTTATTGTTGCCTTTTCACACACGCTTTATTTATTTATTTATATCCTCTGTTCCGCTTGGCTCCTTTGCTCCCCTCGCCCATATAAGCCGCATTCATTTTTTGTTTATCAATATTTGCTTTTTGTATCAATATGCAAAAAACTTTTATTAATGACCAATATGTGCAGATTTCCTTTTCACAGCCTTTTATTTAGTCGGGCTTCCCGTTGAACCGCTGGAAAATGTTGAGGCGAAATGACGCAATGTAAATTTCATTTTAAAAGCTTTTTTTCAAGGCTTAAAGTGCCTGGCGACATTGAAAGGTTGTCAAATATTCATACTGTATATAATTCAGCAATTCCCTATATTTTTTTGATTGTTCACCATTATGCATTGTCCAATTTGGCATTAATTTAAATGATTTATTTTATTTTATTTTGTTATTGTTGTTATTGTTCTCAGCCGCACAAAAGACTTGCGTATCATGATTGATGGTCAAGCGGGTCGACAACATTTTCGGAGCAACAGCGGCCTCGGCAGGATTTAATTTGATTGAAAAGCAAACCGAAAAATCAATTCCAGCTAATGGATTTTCCACGCCGCACACTAGGCTAGATCTCTCGCTCTCAGGATTCATTTAATTTTATCTTTTTTTGAAGCATTTTCCTGCCTTGGGTCCCCCAGTCATTTGCATCCACATCCACCAAACCACTGCGGGCATCGATTTGGGCGAAGCAATTTTTCAATAATGGCATACAAAGAAAAAAATGTTTGGTATTCCACTTTAGAGCCGAGGCATCCCTTATTGTTTAGCTCGTGTCTGCAGCTGTTGGCGTGACTTCTTTTTTTTCCCGAGCCACAAACACATAAGGTAATCATCATCAAGGGGCTAACCCATTTTTATGTTTGGTCGAAAGGCAAACCACAACGGACTGTGAAAATTACTTTTCATTTCTGGGCATATGCAAGGATGTCCTGGAAGTGTCTCCTAGGCATTTGCCGCAATTATTTTAAATGTCGGAACTTTTGGTAACTTATTTTTGTTGTATATTTTTGTATCAAGGATACTTGAGCCTTTTAGAAAGAAAATTCTGTAAAAATGTTTAGTACAGAAATCCTGTAATATCATATAATGTTGATAATCAACTTTTTGAAAATGTATTTACCATTCCACCTTTTTCTGGAAGACAGATTGTTACAAGCACAATACCTCTTAAGGACCTCCCCCATTAGACACACTACATTTATCCCTGTCGATATTAATGTCCTATTTATAATAAATTCAAAGCAACCTTGGCATTGCCTTCTGTCTGCCCTATCTGTCTGCATTTCATTGCCACGGCCTTGGGCTTCAAGTTAATTAGTCGTCAGCGCATTTAAAACTTAATTAAACAGCCGTGGTCCGTAATTAACAATATTGGCAGCTGGCAATAACAACACCATCAACATGCGGCGGCGACCAAGTGCTGAATGGAGTGCAAAGTGTTGCCACCCGGCTGTCTGACTTCATTAACTTCCAGCCGGGTCAGAGCACGCCCGTCCAGAAGATTGGCGTATTCAAAGCAGATCAATAGTGACAGAGAAATATGCCGGGCAGCTGCTGCTAGCTTCCAGGGAGAAGCTCACTATGCCCTGTCGCTGGCAATTAGGCGTAGCTCTGGTGTCACGGCATTCAACACAGTGTTCCCTAAGCCCCTCGTTTCTGCAACTCGTGTTTTTCCCCCTCTTTTTTTCTGACGTTGCAACACTGTTGCTCTTTCCGCTGTTGGTTGCTGGTGAAAAATGCATCAGCTGGCCGGAAGCGACCACCACCAGCAGCTGCGTTGGCCTGAGCCCAGCTAAAGGACCAGTGCTCAGTGTCGGTCACAGTCACAATCCCTAAGGTGGTGTGGCCCAGCAGAGAGAGAAATTGTGGAAATATTTAAATATATAATTAAGCTGGTTTTGATAGACTGAAAACCGAAAGAGTAGCTGTAGCTTAACTTAGAATTTTTCAGTTTAGATCTTAGACCTTTGATATATTTATTTATGGATTGTTAAAAGTGCTAGATATATTCTTTCAGTGTTTCAGAGAGTGTGTTTTGTGTGCGGGCGGAGAATGTGGAAAATTTATACAATAAACGCTTGGTAACTTCAACACACAGTACAATTTCATCATGCATCAGTCGTCGTCAGCTCGTCCTTTGCTCACTTGGCTGCCTTGTTCTCTGCTCCTCGTCACAGTATTCCTTGGCTTTTACCAACAAAAAGAAATAATTAATTTTTATGGCTTTGTCTTTGCTTTTGCGCTCGTCTGACCGGAGCAGCTCGGCACTAGTGGGTTTCAAACCAGAAATAAAAAACTGGGAAAGTTGGCGAAGGTGAGTAAAAAGTGGAGCCACTGCAGGTGTAAACTAAAATCATTTTGAAATTGTTTTGCTTCTTGTTGCTGCATGCGGTTTTTTTGTCAGCTTGACAACAGAAGAAGAATGTCTTTGATCAGAGTGCCTGTGTTTTTTTCTTTAACAAAAAACTACTTTCATCCTTTAAAGAGTCTGAGGAAATAATTTAGAATTAATTTTATCTATGTAATATCATAACAAATAACTAACTTCTTAAATTTCTAAGTTTTTTTCATATATTTATTAGCATAAAAAAGGCTTTTTCTATATTCATCTGTTATATTTCCATTTGTTTTTTACCCTTTAAGAGCCCTACTATTTCCTTCCGGAAATAACGAAAAAACTACTTACGCTCCCTGAAGCGAGAAACATATTTGATATTCATAAAACCGAATATGATTTCAATGAATTCGCACTCCCTTAACCGCATTTAAGGACCATTAGAAGGGTCATGTCAACATTTACTGCCCCACAATAATAACTGTTTACACGCGCGTAAAAATCAAGCTCCTCTCCAGGATGTCCAAGCAGGTCAGAGCAATGACCGCAATTCCTGCTGAATCCCCTACAGAAGCTGCTCCACAACCTGCTTGATTTTTCCTCATTGCTCGTACTGTTATTGCCATTGCTGTGGTAAGCAGGTGAGAAGTCGAGCGTGGCACACACTTCACAGGTAGCCGCAGGATCTGCAGCCAAGCAAGCAGAACCGCACCAGCCACGCCCTCGCCTCAATGCCACATTGCCGCCCTATCAGCTATCTGGCCAACCACCCACCCACCTACTTACTCACTCATTGCCGGCCAGTTCAGTTACACTTACCATTACAGTTACAGTTTCGGTCTCGGTTTTCAGTTCCAGTTCCTTTGTCTTTCCGCTCATAACAATAAAGGCAGTAATAAGAATAATACAAAAATGAGAGAAAAACTGAAGAAAAACGTGAAAAGCAAGCCAGAGGGAATGGTTAACTGAAGAAGGTGAATGGATGCGTTGGCAAAATTCTTTTAAATATTTTATTGTTTAATTCGTTATCCTTCTTTCTGTGCGAAAGTTTAATGGCCTACAACGCTTCGCTTCACATTATCATTACAATTGCGGGTATTTTCACCCCGCCCCTCTCGATTTTTCCGATTCCCCTCGCCCACGACTGCCAATTCAAGCAGGTATTAATTATAATGCCCCAGGGGGGAAGCTGGTCATAAACACAGAACATCTTGCGTATTGCACTTCATTTTCTGCTTGGATTGCGGCCCATTAACCGCCATCGTAATGAGGACACACAGATACAGAATACAGAAAAGTGCAATTATAGTGAGCCAACCGAGTCCCGAAATACGTGTTTTAATTAATATTTTTCCTTTACGCATTTCCTTTTGAAATTAAGGAATTATCACTCGTAAACTTTTGCAAGTAGGTCATGAAATATTGAAGGCAAAGCGAATGCCCTACATTTTTAATAGCTTACATTCTTTCTTTAACTTTTATAAGGGAATTAACGCTACTTAAACATTAAAAAATACACTATAATCCATATTAAAGCATAACTCTATCCCAGTCAACTCTTTAAGTTGACCCATCGCCATGTTTGGATTTTTCCAATAATCAAGTTACAATTATTAGGTCAGACTTTGAACTCGCTTCGGGGAATTGACTTTTATGTCGCACTATAAAGGAGCCTACCCAGCATAACCATTTTCCACTTTGCATTCAAGTTTTCCATTTCCGCTTTGGCGCCTTTTTCCTGCCAGCGGGCCCCGTCTCCGTCTCCGTCTCCGTCCCCAACTACAGTCCCAGTTGCATAATATTTTATTATCCCAAACGCCTATCTGCATTGTCCTGGCCCTACAGGACACCTCCCTGGCCTCGCAGGGTGCCCCTCCTTTCATTGCCAGCTATCTGCGAGCATCCTTTACTCTTCCTTTTTTGCCCACTGTGGCGGAATTATAATCTTACAGGCTCTAACAAGTGCAAGTGCGGCTGGAATTTAATATCACGAAGGCCCTTTGTTGTCCTCTCCGCTGGTTTGTTGGTTTTAAGTTTTCGTGTATTTCATTACAAGGCGAAGTTGGCATTGGTTATGGGAAAGGCGGAGGGCTTGGGCTCGATTTTTGGGGCCTTGGAATTGGGATTGGGAATAAGGATCGGCCTTGTGTGCCGCTTGCCACATTCAGCAGACGCTTAAATCCTTTACACAAGCTGTTTGCCGCGCATAACGAAATAAAATAAATAATCCCGTTTAATGGAAAGGCACAGTCGGAGGCACCATCAGCACCTCCACATCCACATCCACCTCCCGCCCATAACCCCTTTTCATTTCCATCCAAGCAACAACAATGCCGCCCGGCATCGCATTTCCTTTCCAATTTTCCTTGCCTGCGCCTGCTGCTTTTGCTTCAGCTCCAGCTTCAACTGCCGGTGCCGGTGCTGCTCCTGGTGATTCTGCTCCTTTCCTTGCTCATTTCTCGTCGCTGTTGTGCCCACGTACGCAGCTTAAGATTTCCCATTCATATCATGTGCGGCGGCTGGTGCTTTTTTCAACAGGGCTGGATAACAGGTCTGAATTGAAACTTGCCAATCTAAACTTATTTTTATAAGATATAATAAAGAAAATATTATAAATCCATTTAACAAATTCTTTACCAGTCTTTTGGCATCAAATGTAGTCCTAATACTTTTTTAGTTTCCTACGAATATTATTAGTTATTAAATATCCTTCATCCATTGCTATATTATTGATATAAATTGTTATACAAATCCACCCAAATCTATTCACACTTGTAGTGTGTATCCCTGTACTTAAAGGATAAGTATTTTTTCGCTATGCAGACTCGACATCCTGTTCAATATGCATTTGGCTGGTGGTTAATGCCACCTTGGGAGTAACCGATTGCCACAGTGGCACCATTATTATGCATTCAGATTGATGCACGTCTTCGGCATTTTTTCAGCCAGCCTGCCGCAAAATGCACACACGCATCCTGCCGGCGTCGTCCTGATTACTCTGGGATTCCTGGGACTCTGAACTCTCTGAGCTCCCAGCTTCCTGACAGCCAGTCGCACTCAGGACACATACATACATATTCCGCACACACTTAACGAGCACTTAAGCGTCTTCGCCGGGAGCTTCATAGCTCTAAATATTATGTTTAATTAAATATGAGCTCATAATCGAGTTCGCCCACTTGGCCTGGCCTGACCTGATAGCCAGCCAGCTGGTCTCCCTCCCGGTTTATAGCCACTTTATCTGCTTAATTAAAAGGTTGGACTTTAATTGAAATCGCTCTGATATCTGACCTGTCACAATTGCCAGCTGTCCCCAGGACCGAGGAGAAGGGGATGGAAAATGATTAGTGTAATTGCCAGAGGTTGGGTGGAAAATTATTATCCGATATGTAGAGGATTATCCTGGCGAACACTGAACGTGCCGATGGCTTGGAATTCATCTTGGGCTTAATCAATCAACGCAGCTTGTGAATAAAATATATACTGGTCGTCTGGTCGAAAATATCCTTTGGCTATAAACGAGAGCAGATCCCACATTTTATTGGCAATTCCCTGATGTCCCAAGAAAGCTCGTTTGGAGAGGTCTCTGTCACTTTGGATTTTATTTGGCTTTTCCCCGGAAAACATATTTATTAGCAACATGTCGAATGGGTAATGCAATCGAGGCCTTGAATCTCGGCCAGCCCAAGTGGGTGGGCCAAAGTGACTTTTCAATTTGAATAAACGAATGTAGCTGGGTAAATATTTGATTTATTTTCGGGTGACCTTTGTCAAATAGACACACACACACACACACACAAAAACCCACATTCCTGGCCCGTTCTTATCGCACAGCTGTGGTTGAATTAATAGGACCGACTGTCCCACCACAAATGGAATGTTGTGGTGTGTTGCTTATGAATTAGATTACGAATTTCATGGGGAGTACTAATTTTAGGATTATATTATAATAAAACTTAAAATTAATAATATATAAACGTTTTAACAAATTTATTTAATAACAGGGTTCTATAAAACAATTGATTCCCTGATTTTGGCATAATCAGAAGAGCTAACATATTAAAATAATTTGTAGTGAGAAGTTAGCAATCAAATTTGGTTAGAAAATGTTTAATATATCATCTTCTACTTCTTGGTTCTATTATCTTTCCCCAAATTGTTTGCCAAGATACGATTTTCGCACATTTGTCTCTTTGTATCTTTTTTGACTGTTGGCTGTTGCCCGAAATTCAATTTGCATATTTCCATCTCTGTTGCTCTGTTTGGTGCACAAAAGTTTATAATTTCCATTTGTGCTGCTCTTTCCCGACAAGCAATTTTCGCATGATAACTTCATTGCGGCACAAGGTCAGGCCGAGAGCAGGAAAACCAATTCGGAATAATCTAACCAATTACTGCCAGCGCTCCGGCAAGGTCAGCCGAGTCATTTCGGCAACGCACAAACGATTATTACTGCATTAGGAGTCGGGAAAAGAAACGCACATGTGAGTCGCATGCAGATAAGCAAACGTAATAGAAACAGATTATATCCCACACTCCTCCAGGGACCCACATCCTCCCCTCCACGTTCCCATTCAGCCGTAACATAATCGTAAAAGTCAAAGCTTAGCTCAATGCTAGATTGCAGCATTTTGTATGGGGGGGAAATGTTTAAAGCGCTCGTCGGGGAATGGGTCCTGATAGAGATGCTCTGCGAATTCAAGGATGTGACTCTTAATAAGGAGATTTCACTGGAAGTTTGAGCAAATCAAAAAGTCTGACTGGGTACTCTTAATGTAAGCCGAAAATAATGAGATTCGAAGAAACATCTCTGAAGGAACGCTGTGGGACTTGATAATCTGCATACAGGAAGTACATATATAAGAGATAAAACAGGTCACTCAAAATGAGGAATATGAAGAGCAGATAAAATTATGTGAATTTTTAACTTGTATTATTATTTTCAAAAGCAAATTGTCAAAGTAGGTCTCAAAGTTGGATTATGTTTCCCTGATGATCTGCGGCTTGAAGTCATGTTCTGATGCCTTTTTAAATGACTCAGCATAGAGAGGAATCCTTTGCGTCATCCGGAAGCCCCAGAAGTCCTTCACCTGGCGACATAAGTTAAGATCAAGTTCCACCACCAGCAGGCCATCACTATCGCGAGACAAACTCTGAAAATAAAAGATTACAATTATACAAAATATTAACATAAATTACTTAAAACTATTTTTAGCCATAAATGAATTCCAGTATAAAATGTTCTGTAAACAAATTGCAGGAAATTCATTTATAAATTAATTAATTACATTGTTTCTATATTTATCCCATGATTATATACTTTGTTTTGATTGAATTTAAAATACTGTTGAAATGGATTTTCTATAGAAGACTATTCCTCGTTAGACCTACCGGAGTCCTTGAACCATCAGGAGCAGCAACATAAGAGGAACCGTAGAAGGGCCCAAACGTTTTGTGGGCCTTGTTGCCATCTCCAGAGGTATACTCATTCGGGAACTCCTCCGTTCCCACTCGATTGATCGGAACGGTGAAGTAGCTATTGGCAATGGCAGCATTCCTTGCCTCAATGCTCCAAAGTGGCTCCGATAGGCGACCGATCGTGGCCGAGGGATTGAAGACGATCTCAGCGCCATTCAGTCCGAACATCATCCAGTTCTGCGGATGATGGCGTCCATAGCAGATGTTGATGGCCAGCTTGCCGAACTCCGTCTCGAAGACCGGGTGACCAGTATTGCCCTCGAAGTAGTACGTGGATTCGTTAAAGTCACCCACCCGAGGAATGTGATTCTTGCGATGCTTGCCCAGGTATCGACCGCTATTCGAGATGACCACGGCCGTGTTCCAAATGGTCTCGCCATGCTCAATATCGCGCTCCAGAATCGAGTGGATGATCACCATGTTATAGGCCTTGGCCAGCCCTGAGAGCATCTTGGTGGTCGGTCCATTTTCAGCCTCCTCGGCGAACTCACACCAGGGGAACTTCTCTCGAGTGCAGAAGGCAAACGGCATGGCTTAGGACAATTAGAAAACTAATTAATTAATTTACTATAAATTAAAGCGCATCACTTACTCCATGCTTCTTGGGTGCAAACAATGTTGCAGCCAGCTGCTGCCGCGGCCTTGATAATGTTCTTGACCTTGTTCCAAATGCCTTCGCGTTGCTGTTCAATGGGCGCCGTGGTGGGAAGTGCAATGGAGTTCTGGATGGCGCCAACCCTAACTATACGGGGTTTACGGGTCTGCTCCTCTCGCGCATTGAAGCGATATCCCTTAATCTCAAAATCATTCTCTTTGGCAATTTTGGTAGCACTTTCGGGCAGATCCAGAGTTTGGCTATGATTAGAAAAGGGGCAATAATTATTATTTAAAATAAAGTAAGTCATGACATCACGAATGGAATGTTTTAGCTCACATTAAACATAAGATTTATTAAATAATTTTAAGTACATTTTATATTTTGATTTTTATTAATAACATTTGCAGTCCGTTTCAAATATACAAATATTTTTTAGCAACATCTGGCACTGATTTCTTCGAACCGGACAAAATCGGATGCTTATCTCTTTTCTTTCTGTCATAACCTTAACACTTTTGTATTGAAATATTTTAAAAACTCTCAACAGATTAAAAGAATTCTTATATTTGCCAAGAATTGTAAATTTCAGTCAAATAAATATATTAAATTTTACAAAAATCAAACATATCTAGAATTGCCGACAACTATTTCTGTTTTGTTTTGCTTCGCCGATCATTCCATTCACATCACCAGTTGTTCACACACGTGTAGAAGTGTAGATACACATTTTATTAGTTCTATATTTAAATGTATTTTGATACAAAACATCTTGAAATAAATAAATGGAAAATTTGGAAACTTTGACTAAGAACTGGAATTTTTGGTATATGTTTTTTAACACGTATTTGTGAAAAGATCAAGATTAAAATATATTTTTAGAATTATCTGGAGACTTTTTACGACCACCCCACATGATGTTGAGACTCTTATCAATATTGTCACTACATTCGGTACTCACTCTTCTTCAACGCCGTACAAAATCCGCTTGACCTCCTTCAGTTCATCAGCTGGCAGATGCTTCTCCAAGCTGTCGTTCAGGTTTTTCAATTCAAATGCCGACATTGTTGTCAATTCGCATTAATTTGGTTTGTTCCGAGATTAATTGATAGAGCAACCTATTGCGACCAGCGCACTATATGGAATGCCTATTTCGACGATCGCGTTCACCTTCTTATCGCTCTCTTTCTCCCCTGCTGACTATATATTTCTCTCTCTCCCTATTTGTTTTTCTCTCTCTTTGTGGTTTTTCCTCAATGATTTTCTCTCTGTTGAATACGTAATTAGTGAGCAACATATAAAGTACAGTCATTGACACTAAAATAGAAGCAAATGGAAGCTAATTGGGAATTTTTGTATTTATTGAACATATTTTTAAAATTATTTGAAGGTATTTATAAGATAAAGTTTATTATTTAATTTTAAATTAAATAAAAATGTAGATTTATAAAAGATGAAAGTGATTTTATATAATTTTTGAAGCTTAACACTATTTTAATTCATATTTTAGGCTTGCTAAAAATTATAGCTATAACTAAACATACCAAAATTTGTAATAATTTTATTTAAAAATCGAATTAAATGGTAAATATAATTATATTTTTAACAAAAGCCTTAATATTATATATAAAATTCCAAAAAACAAAATCTTAAGCCTATTAAGGGGGGGGGTAAGGTATTTAATTTTTTTTTTCGTAAATTTTTTTTTATTTTTTATTTTTAAAGATCAACATCTTAAGAATATTGTGTCCAAGTTTTATATCGATCAGAGTAAAATTGACGAAGTTATGCGGAGTTGAACGAAGGTCGGTTGGTGTTCAATGCATGAGAATCGCAAAGTTTAAAGCGCTCTCCTGAAAAATGCCATTTTGAAAATCGGTGTACACGATAACTCAAAATCTACTGAACCAATCGGTTTGAAATTTGGAACATAACTTCTTTGGATAATTCTACAGGTATTCACGTCGAGCTTTTTTTAATTTTCTTATATTTTTTATTTAACAAATTAACATAATTTTTTTGTCAAAAATCGGGGTTTTGACTTCAAATTTTGAGAAAAAATAGGGAAAAAATTTTAAAAATAAAAACTCTTCGTGAATACCTCGGGACACTTATCCTTTAATGAATGAGGTATAATTTTTTTAGATCGAATGATCCTGTGGACTGTTAGGATGTACACCGCAAAACAACTTTTTTTGGAGGCGACTCGGGAGATTCCCTATAACTTCTCTACCTCTAAATATTTTTCAATACAAAATTTATTAAAAATTATTCAAATGTTGTGTTATTATATGGTATTTAATTCATTAAGCTAACTTTAGCCATTCCGCCACAATAATTTTTTGAAAAGTGGCCTTTTTTGCACCGAATTAACCTTACCCCCCCCCTTAAAGGCTTTGTTTTTCCAATACAAATTGTATATTCCGCATATATCAACTTTTTAAGCATTTAAAACAAAACGTGTATGACTTCTACTTTAATTTAGAAATATATACACCGAAAAATATATAGTCCAACTCTTTATTGACAAAAACTTCACTCGTAAATATGCAAATTGCTATTTTTAAGCTGATTATCTCAAAAGTTTTGTAAATATTAAATCAGTCAAGAGCACAGCTGTATCTTTTTCGCCGAGCATCTCTAATGTCAGCTACTTTGCCTGAAAGCTGACAGCTTTTGGGCCATTTTGTATTATAAAAGATTAACTTGAAGCCAAATGTGGGTCTCGTTGCGTGCTGGAAGGCAATGCAAATTACCAGAAATCTTTTTCGGGGCTAAAGATGTTTGTTTGTCTAGTTCTGAAGCTGGCTCTGGCGCTGGTGCTGGTGCTGGTGGACTGCCTGGAACGCTTTTTGTTTTCTTTTTCAGTTGGCAACTCAATTGAGTGTAAAACAATTTCATTAAATTGGCAGTCGCAGAGACGTTCCCTTCCGCGCACCCATCTTTTCTCTGCGTGTATGGGCCAGTGTGCTTGTGTGCTGGGAAACAGCTTCGTGGGGACCCAGTGTCCTCTATTTGGCCACATTCATTTATTGAACCCGTCCCAAACCGATCCGAACGGAATGGAACCTCATCATTGGCGATGTCGTCTGCTCGCCGGCTTTGTTCTATTTTTATTATTATTTTATTGTCTGGCTGCAGTGTCCATGTGGGAGCGAGAAGCCATTGCCAGGAGGAGCCCCAGGACTCGGAGGACCGAACCGAGAATCGGAGGACCTTCTTGCCATTGCAATTTATCGCATTCGCTTTGGAAACATGTTCGCAGGCATTTTTATCATTTCCGCATTTATATGGTTTCCGCCTGAGCTGCAAGCAAACTAAGAAGTGGCTTTCTGCCTTATTGCCCCTGAGACTGCCCTATATCCTGCCATCCGACCAGGATGTCCTCTGATGGAATTCGCAGCTAAAACAGAAACCAAACCATGCTCGGCCGAATGAATTGTTTAGGTTTAATTTATTGTACTGAGATTGGTTATGGGGCTCCTAGCCGGGTCATATCCACACACACACTTACCCGCACACACTGCACCGCCCCAAAAGGAGGAAGAATCGATAGGAGGTCGGTCGGTCCAAGGCCGAAGTTCGACAAAGTTTCAGTTTTCAGTTTGATGTTATCAATTTATTCATAAAACCAAACTGCATGAAGATAAATGAAAACATGTCTGCGATTTTTAAAGCTATTTCAAACGAGGAAAAAATTTTGAAGCATTTTAATTGTCAATTAAATTCTGTTAAGTTCAATATTCAGAATGATTTTTACAATGAATTTTTAATGAATTTCAAGGACTCAGAAAGTGAATGGTAATTTAATTGGATTTAGTCCAATTTGATGAACTGAAAATTGAACATCTTTGATAACTTCAATTAATTTTAACAAAAAGGGTTTTTACTAAATTAGATTTCTGCGTTTTGGGAAATGTAAATCTGCTTTTAAGCTAAACAAAAATTAAATTTGTAACTTTACTGAGACTGCAATTAAATATAAATGAAATCAATTTAAATTTCAAATAAAATGTTTGAGGCGACGCCATAAAAGAAGCTGTTTGTAATGATAAAAAGAAAATCAATATCTATAAATAAAATGCTATTAAAAAATCATGCGTAACCCACACAAAATGAATATTAATAATACACAACATGACCCGTCTCCTGTCTCACATGCCCAGCCTGACCTCTGGGCAAAACGCACTCACCCAAAGTTCTTCCCTGTGTAATTTTCAATAAAAAAATATAACACTCGAAAGGACAGGAAGCACACAAAAAAAAATTACATTGTGTCCACTGCCAGGCTTTGCCGGCTAAAAAAAAAAGGAGAGTAGGGCCCGAAAAGCAAGGAAGGGACACAAAAAGGGGCAGCGAGACTTGTTAAGGGTCCGGCTATAAATCTCGGCAGCTTGTGCTGTAACTTAAATTAAATGCTGCAAAATCGGCTGGGCAATGGCCAACTCGTGTGGACCCCTGACAGCCACAAAGGAAAGCCAGAAGGAAAATGCGAAGGAGCGAATAAAAAACGCGCCGCACGCCGCACGCAGTCGAGTTGAAAAATGAGAGGCAAAAGTGCACCGAGACGTGAGCCAGGCGAAACAGGAACTTAAATTAAATAGAGTTTTCGAAAACAAGCGGCTAAATATGCTGCAATAGCTGCTCCTACTCCTGCCGCCGTCAGACGAAGGATCAGACGAATTTTCCATTTCCCAACTCCATCGCTCAGTTTTTCCATATGCATTCCTGCGAGTCTGGGAGCCAAAAAAACGAGACTGCACGTGGCAAACAAAACTGTTGGCCACTTTTAGCAGAAAAGCGGCAAATTTATGGCTGCCAGCATTTGCGTGTTGGCAACTTTTTTTTCGGCCGAATCCCCGCCCCCACCTGCAAAACTGAAAAAATATTACATTTCGCACACGTAGAATATAGAAGAGTTAAATTGGGAGGAAAAAAAAAAAAAACAAGAAAAACAACCAATGAGTTTTCCCATCAAAACTCTTCTACTAAATGGGGTGAGCTGAGCACTCCACGCCACGACTATTCAAATTCAATCTGCGTTAATGGCCAAACAATATCGGCAAGGGTCAATTTGTGTGGGGGAGCATAAATATTTCAATATTTCAACGGCATGCCTAAGTATTATGCCGGCAAATCGGCTTACATCTAATTTGATTTCGCCAAATTATATTTCCATAGAAGGGGGCCAAATAAATTTCGTTTGATTTATTCTGTGCCGGTGCGTCGCATTATACATGATAAATTGGTAGCTAAGCGTCAATGGCGCTGTAATTAGTTTTTTTTTTTTCAGCGCCAAAAACTTGCCCAGACAATCAATTGCGAAAAACCAATCAAGAATTTTCCGCTCCAGCCCCAAAAAGTGCATTAAAGGGACGCGGATGCTGCCGCTTGCACTATAAATTAATATGCTGGCGAAAGTATAAAATTGAAATTATGGCAACTGCCAACTAATGAACAGCGATAAAAATAAATACAAGCCCTGGCTTCTGGCGAACTCCTGGCAAAACTGGCGAAAGTTCGCCTCTTGCACCTGAATGACTTTCGAGCCAGCTTCATTCAGCTGAAACTATGTCAATACATTCTCTGGGCCCGAGTTCAGAGTCATTGCTGTGAAAAACTCGCCCAAAAAGTTTTCCCAAGTTTGGGCGAAAAGTGTAGCATACCTTTGTGCGTCTTCCAGGGACGCCCAGCCGGCGTCGACTGCGAAAACCGAGCGCATTTCCCGAGCACTTCCGAGGAAAGCCAAAGCCGAAGCTCTGTCGGTTACTCGGAAAGCTTTCGCTCTCTTTATTCTCTCCTTTGCAGCCGCTCTTAAGTGTGCGACTGGTGTGGCAATATATTGCTTGCGCCGCGAAAACGGGATAGCTGCCGCATGCGGCACTGCTCGCACCACGGAAGCTTTACGGCGAGTGACACTTGTGACGCTTGGGAATAACAACCGTTAATAAAGCGCGCTGACTTTGAGTTTGTCAACACGGAAAAATATAAGTTAGGTCAGGTTAACTGCTACGCCTAGTCCTTAGTTTGAAATAGACACTTAAATATGTTAATATTAAAATTAATAAAACGAAAAAACAATTTTTTTTTATATGTTTAAGAAAACAAAGTCTTATAGAAAAGATTTCACAGAAGGTTCGAAAAATTTAAGATTCGAAAGCAGTTTAAAAACGTTTTTTTTTTTAATAAACATTACTTAAAATGCGAAATACATTTGTATACACTGAAAACATAAGTATTTATTAAAACTGTATTTATTTTTAAATTTTAAGATAATTTAAAAGTTATAACTCGAATTTATTCAGTTAAAAACAACAAATGACAACTTCTTTGAATAAAAAAACATATACATATATTTAAAAATAAGATAATACATTTTCAGCTATTTACTAATTTAATACCTTTTTTAAATAGTAATTTATTAACGCATTTATTTATTTACCCATTTCTATATTACAGATTTGCATATAGTATTCTAACTGTTATAAAAGTGTATAAGATCCCAAAATTATATATGTACATCTAATTTAATTTTAAATAATAATCCAATCCGGATCATTTTCATTCAGAATTTCCTTATGGTTATATGTATAATTTCGATGGGTTTCATTTGATAACTGCTAAAGCTAGCGATCTATTAAAATTTTTGTTTAAAAACCGCTAAAATTCCATATAGTGCAAAAAGTAATTTTTAATTTTTAAGGAAATTTTAAATTCAAAACATTAAACTAATGATTATAAAGAATACAACATAAATTCTGAAATTTTGAAGACAAACAACTGGAACAACTTTCCATTTGCAACTATTATTATTTTAAGTGCAAGCCGCCGTATTTGTATTTGTGTGCGGGTGGCACATGCAACATTCGGTGTTTGTTGGCAGGCAGTGTTGACTTTCTTCCTAGTCGCCGCTCTCTCTGTTCGGGGATTTACACTGGCAAATAGTGGGCGGCCGGCGAAACGAGACGGGGCGGAAAATGCACATAAAGTCCGCTGGCCATTGTTGTTGCACTTGTTGGTGGCTGCTGGTTGTTTGCGACGCTCACACAGGCATAAAGTCAGGAGACAAAGTGGGGAGACGACTGAATGGGACACGTCTGAGCATTTAAGCGGGGGAAAAATGTGGGTTAATGGGTTTTTAGTTGCCCTTTTCATTACTCAACTGGCACCACACACGCGCCCCGACTACAAATTGTTTTGTTTCTTGTGCCAAATGCTAATCAAATTGCATTCCACGCGTTCCTTAAGTCCCTTAAGTTCTAAACTGAAGTTTGATTGCCTCTCGGCCAAGTAAAACATTTGGCCATGTTGGCCACGAAATACAACAGGGCCGATATAACCACGCCAAAGTTCTTGCCACATAATAATGGCAACAGTTTCCTTTCTCGCGCTTCGCTGATTAGCATGGGAAACACGGCAGATAAGTGCACTGAGAGAAAAATAATTTAAGAACACTAAGCCTTGATAGCATATTCTTCTTTAAGATGTAAAAAATTCATATATATTGAAAAGATTATTTAAGTTAAACATTTTAATTTTGGTTTCAAACAAACGCAAGTCAAATTTATCTTTTAACATAATAATTATGCTTAAATAAATTCTCCCTGTGCACAGTCACATTCCAACTTACAAGCGAGTGCACAGCTAATTGAAAATTAATTTAATGACCACGCTGAGCACGTGGAAAACCCTCGCTGGGATGCGGCCAGGCGTTGGAAAATGCGTGAAACTCGCACCGCTTTCCAGCACTAATTAAATTAGTAGCCGTATAGATGCAGGTTGCGATTTATGAATTACATTGCAAGCATTCCCTGTGAGCAGGTGCCACATGGAATGGCGAGGAAAATGGAAAATGCGGCACTGACCAAACCGTAAAAATGGCACACGGAACGAGACGGGCATTTGCCTAATTGAACATGTGTCCGACAGCCAAAGTAAACACAGACACGAAGGTACACATTTTGCATTTAGTTTTTTCGTTTGTGTTCTTCTTCAACTCTTTACAGTTCATTAATATTGAAGAGCCACTGGGCGCTAGGGAGTCGGGGGTACATATTGGAAATGAAAAGCCAACTACTTTTGTGTGTTCTAGCATGGCCACAGGGACTTTTTACCCCACACTCTCATTTGCTGCTGCTTTTCCATTTTCCAAAACCCCAGTGCCAGCTAATTTAAATTTTTTACTTGTTTTCTGCTGAATTTATGCACGACAGCAGGTAGAGACCACACAAATTGAGGCATAAATTCCGCTGCATTCCCAGCATGTTTCTTTGTTAATTTAAACATAGCTTTGTCCACGAATATTAACTAATAAATATTCAAGCTTTGACATTTTTTTCATCAGGGTAATGGGAGCTATTTTGTGACAGTTGAACATGCAATGTAATTTGCTTTTGGTGATAATTGGGTGGTTTGAAATGGTTTTTGGGTTTTTATAGAGCAAGCTTTCAGAGAGAGATTCTGTGAGCAGTTAAATATTTAATATAAACACAACTGCTAGATAAAAGATTCCTTGAAAAGCCAAAACTTTAGAATGTGTTAAGTTATTCATACTTCAGCCTCCCACTAACATGTCTTCTTGGTATGCTTCAAGATGTTCATAATCCTAGTTCAGTTCCAATTCATACACAGCCTGGAAAATGTCAAATTGATTTTCCACAAATAATTACTTACATGAACCATGATTAAATAGAGCAAAACATCTTAACCAGTTTATGAAACCTCAAATTGCCTTATAAATAATCAAGCTCAATTTACATATTCTGGCTGTTAAAATAACCTTGTTGGGGTCATAAATTCGTAATAACTTTAATGGCAGACACTTGATGGACACTCGAAAGTGTTTTTAATTTCAATTAATATACAACCACTCGAAGAGTAAAATACAGTCCCACTGAAATGGACACACAAGTGAGTTGGGTCCTTGGCCAGGACTCAACTCAATCTCGATGGCTCCGAACGGAAATCAACTCAAGTGGCGTCTGCCTTTGATGGCCGGCCTGCTGTCCATCTGCAGTTGCAAGGGAGAGCGGGAAATGTAGGAAAAGCAGGAAAAGTCGAAGTAAAAGCTAAAGCCGAAGCGGCAAAACTGGAGCAGCCGAAAGGGGAACAGTAAATACCTTAAACTTTGCTTCAACTTTCACCGGTGGCCAAGAAAATTAGCAGTGATACCCAGTCATCGGCTTAAGGGCTCCCTTCTGCCATAATGCCCTCTTTAAGGGTTAAGCTTAAGTTAAACTTTCAGCTGCTTTTGTTAAATTCTAGACTACAAAACAAAAAAATACGAACCAACAAGTTTTGTGCGGCTGGAATATCCTGCTCTAAGCAGGAAAATTATTAAACAATGCCTAGGGACTGCAGGACGAGATGGTGAAGAGATGAGAGGAGATGAGACAAGGATGATGACAATGAGGACCCTAGTGCATGCAGCTATGAAAATGGCAAAGTGCTGACCTAAGCCCACAAACAAAATGGGATGCTACACAGGCACACGCAGCAAAAAGAAAAAGGGTCCTACTTTTGTAGAGAAATTTATTCATAGTTTTATTGTAAATATAAGTTTTAATTCTACTAATTTATGACACAGGGTAAAGTTCGCAATTAACATAACGCATTTCCCAGGATACTCCTTTGCAATGTTCCTAATAAACTAAATTTAATATTATTATTTTTTTGAGTGTGCCTGCAAACACACACAGCAAACAAGACAGCAAAAAAGTGTCACAGCAGCTCAACACAAAAACTCAAATTCCAAACCCCCGAGTTCGACTCCGGCTGAAAATGAAACTGAACCCGGAGCAAGTGACCGGCCGTCCGCTGGCGCCCGGACAGAACATGACGGAGTGTCAGTGGCTCAGAGCAACAAAATCCCAATGTAGCCAGTGATAAGGCCAACTACAGAGCCACGTGTTTGCTTTTCAATTTGTGCCAGCAGCCGGCTGTGGAATTATGAATAGACCGGGCGCAAAAACAAAGCGCCCGGCAGCAGATAGACATCGTGAATGGGCCAAGTGAAACGGCTTTCAGGGGCACAGCGTGTCCGGGGGGGAGTAAGGCCAAAAAGGGGGCTACACGGAGCGTTGAAGCATTCATTGAAGCTAAACAGGATGTGTAGCTAGGTGAGGCAGGAGGGACTCCAGGAAAGGGATGCCATGGGATGAGCATGACTCGGTGCCAACAGGCAAAGGAAAACAACTTTGTGCAAAAGTTGTACTCGATTTGTGTTCCACTTTGGACTCCTGCCCGTGTTCCAATTCCTGTTTTTCTTTTTTTTTTTCTTACTTACGGCAACTTGCATCGCATGAAATGCAAATGTTCATCTGCAAGGATTCAAAGTCACAACGACTGAACATACAAATTTGATGGTAAACTCTCTGATCGCTTCAGCAATCTCGACAAGAAAATATGCAGGCACCTAAGTTTAAGTTACGAAAGGAAGACTTTAAGCTTCAGAAAGAATTTTATGCATTTTATTAGGATTTCTTTCAGATAGATGTGTAGTTTTATAAATAATATATTCATATATTATTTCATATTTCGGCTTACAAACTTCAAAACGAAATGGTATCTCTAATTTCGATTCAGTTCTAATAAGTGTAAGCTGTAAGTCATCACTGTAGCCGTGATTTCCAATTGTCGAATTTGAGAGTCAGTCATTACACTAAAGTATATTACAAACAAATACGTAAACTTTCGCTTCAGCAGTAAACCTAAACATTTATTCATTCACAGATATAAATTGTTATATGCCATAGTTTTAACCAAAATCGACAATTTTGAAAAAATGAGCACTAGCGAGCGCAGAAGCTTGCTTGAGGACAAAAGAAGACTGTTGGGTTCCATGAGGCAGAGCCTGGGAATGAAGAATCCCATCGCTCCGTTCGCTCAGAACCCTGTGACAGCTGCCGACGATGGACGTAATTCCTTCACGAAAATGACTAAACGACACAAGAAGGACCAGGACTTTATAATTTCAAATTTTAAGGAACACCCAGAGACTGAATTCACGCCGATCTATCAAACCACTTTCGATGACGACAGAGACCCAATCCTGGAGCCGACATTCTCCAAACATCGCATACCGCTGTGAGTCCTCCCAACTGACTGCTGATTAAGGAGAATCTTCCATATTACATCCTTCTTTTCACAGGCAAATCCGCTGCTTGGAGCGATATCACATCTCCAAGAAAGAGTATGCCCATCAATTTAAGCGGGAGATCGACCTCCTCATCGAAAATCAGCCAACGGCTGAAAGTGCCTGGCAGTTTGTGAGGTATTCTTAAATTGCATTTATTTAATTTTGATGTTTAAATTTAAATTTCTTTTAGGACCATGGCTTATACAACTCTTTGGCCGCCACTGCACACAAGGAAAGAGCTCAAGATGTTCGAAAAGGACTTTTGCAAGCTATCGCCAGCTGAGCAGCGGAGATACGATAAAATAATGTCAATTAATTTTACATGACCACTCTTATACACTACAGAACATTACTACATTACTACAATACCAACATTAAATACATTAACAACATTAACTACATTAGCTAAAGAAATAGTAAAAAAAAAGTACTGGCATTTAAAAATGTAGAAAAAAAATAAATATTACTTTAAAAACTTACTTATGCTATATTTGATTGAAAACATTTTCCTAGCTTTAAAACTACTTAAATATTTGTATATTTTCTAAACAAAATATTTATGAAATGCAATTTTAAATTGTTTTTGTAATTCCTTTAGTCTTTTACGGTGTTTTCTTTATTCTTTATTCTCTCTTGATTTCTAAATTGATCAATAGAGTAAAATATACAAATTTTAGATAAATATTTTCCATATCCTGTTTAATTTTAAAGATATTTTTCTATTTGTAAGAGATAAACTTCACAAAATCATATCTTTCTCTGACTCCTCTGAGAATCAAACTGCCAAAAGCTTTTGAGTATTATCTGCCTCTCAACGCTCACTTTATTAATTAAAGTCTCACCGCCAGCTTAAAAGCTTCCACCTTGGCCTCTTGCAATCTCACGGAACCGGCTTATCATCTGCCGATAGTATTTAAAGGTCTTTCTCCGCAAGCTCGCGATCAGTTTGTGAAGCGCCTCGAAGTCGTACTCAGCTTAAGTCACGCTACTGCTCCCGGTCCCGGTTCTCAGGTTCGAGGTCGTCGTGCGTAATCGGCGAGCGTTGTGATTGAATTAGCTGTAGATTTTTTGTTATTATTACGTGCTGTGGGAAATATCCCGTAAGATGAAGTCAACTCGCCAAGTACTTGGGGTTTTTTGGACCAGTTGTCTGCTGCCGTTCACCGTTCTACAAATTGTGCGGGCCCAAGGAAGTTAGTATTGAGACTCATCTGATTCACACCGAGATGACTCATTGGGTTTGACCGGTCACCGGCAGATAGTATCTTCTTACCCAAATACGTCATGAGCTACACTGCGATTGCGATTCAATTGTGATTGAGGGGCGGGCAATAACCAACCTTTCCATGTGAATGACTTTGTTTAAGTGCACTCGTGTGAGTTTGAATGCTTCTGAATGAATTTAATGAGTCCAATCGTCGCCCAATACTGATTACATTCCCAAGCCTCCTATCGCACATTGGCTGGGTGAAACCTAAGGTTTTGTCGCTGACAATGAAGTTATTATGTATATTCTGTTATATATACATAACTCGAAAAATGATTTCAAATTTTCTGATTTTATTTAAATATTTAAACAAATTTTATTAGTTTGCAAAGCACAATTTCAAAAGGTATCAATCATATTGTGTTGATATTTATAAGGTTGCAAGTTCTTTTTATTGCCTTTGCTGCTAAATTGTTTATGGCATTGACTCCCAGGGAATTTACTTGCATTAAACAAGTATAAACAGGTTGACTAGTAATAAATACTGTAATCAATTCACTTATTTTGCATACAGAAAGAATATCAATTTGATATAAAAATGATATAAATGAGCACTCGACTTAAGATAATGTTGATTTTATAAGAAAATATCTTAGAAATTTATATAAAATTGAATAAAAATTTAATAAAAATATGTATATTAGCATCACCAAACTAGTCGATCTAGACATGTCTGTCTGTCGCATTACATCAAAGAGTGACTTTCTTTCGCTTTTAATAGTTCGATTTAGATTACAAATCTTACTAGCCACGCCTACTTTATTTTCTCCCTAACAGGCTGTACAAATCCCCGCCAGAATCCAGGACTATGTATGTCCATATACGACTGTCCCGCTCTGCTTGCCTTGGTCCAGCAGAGTGCCGTTACCACTCAAGACAGGATGTTCCTTAGAGACTCACAATGCTACAATGGATACGGCCGATTGCCGCATGTTTGTTGCCCGACATTACAGACCACCACCACTACCACAGCACGGACCGTAACGTCTCCAACCAGGAGTGGCGGTCAGCAGGGACAACAAGGTCAGGGAAATCTATTGCCCTCGCCTCCGAAATGTGGGCCACACTCTTTCAGCGACAAGGTCTACAACGGCAATGACACGGCTCTTGATGAGTTCACCTGGATGGTGCTGCTGGAGTACGTTGATCGTAAGTAAAGTTTGAACTTAAATAACATTTGTATTCAACAATTGATTATTTTAATTATACTATAATTAATTCTGTCCAAAAAGGCAGAGGACGCCGTGAGCTTAGTTGTGGTGGCAGTCTGATCAACAATCGCTATATTCTGACCGCTGCCCATTGCGTGATTGGAGATGTTGAAAAGGAAGTGGGCCGACTGTAAGTAAAAGAGTTTTATTAAAAAATAATTAATTACACATTTTTTTTATAAAATTGCAGCACCACAGTTCGCTTGGGTGAATATGACACCACCAAAGAAATTGATTGCATCAATGGAGACTGCAATCAGCCAATTGTGGAACGGGGCATCGAGGAAAAAATTGTCCATCCCCAATATGATCCTGCCGACAAGAACCGCGTCCATGACATTGCTTTGCTGAGACTCGATCAGCCTGTGGTGCTCAATGAGTACATTCAGCCAGTTTGCTTACCCTTGGTCAGCACACGACAGGCCATCAATACGGGCGAAATCCTAGTAGTCAGCGGCTGGGGACGCACCACCACAGGTTGGTTGATTAACATTTTACATTTAAATTGTAAGATTAATTTGCAATTAAATTTAACAGCCCGCAAGAGCAACATCAAACAGCGGCTGGATCTGCCAGTCAACGATCATGACTCCTGCACGCGGAAGTTCGCCACGCGGCAGATCAACCTCATCAGTTCGCAGCTGTGCGTCGGCGGGGAATTCTACCGCGACAGCTGCGACGGGGACTCCGGCGGACCGTTGATGCGGCGGGCATATGACCAGGCCTGGTACCAAGAGGGCGTGGTCTCCTTCGGCAATCGATGCGGACTGGAGGGCTGGCCGGGGGTCTACACACGCGTTTCCGACTATATGGATTGGATCCAGGAGACGATGCAGCCATGAGTCGGGCAGCGAGCTCTGTTTTTGTTCATTTGAAGTTTTAATTAAAGGCCAAGTCGAGAGTGTTATTTGGGGCCGGAAAGCTCGTCTTTTAATTAACTTGCATTCAATGCGATTTTATCAGCTGCTGCTGGTACGCTGCGTATACGTAATGCGCTTACAGCCGCGCACAGTTTGCGGTAATTAAAATAGCTGTTCTTCGGCGTGGAATAACTTTCAAGTTGCTGCTGCCAACTTGCCCAGCGGCACCTTCTTAGCGCCCTCAACGATTTTCTATGTAATTTGGCAATGAATTTCTATTATGCAAGCAGCGGCGTTCCGGTTTTCCGCATTTTCCGGCCCGAAGTTTGCACTTGTGTTTGCTGGCTGATTGCATTGCAGCGTGGCGTGGAGAGGCTGGAAAACAAAGTAGACAATAGCTTGCCTGGCTCATTAATTGTGTGCTTGCAGAAAGGTTAATGATGCCTGCAGGAACCAGCTAGCAAGGACAAAGGGATGGTGCCGCCTTTGTGGCTTGGATTTCTTGACCAGCTTTATGAAAAAAAACAAAATCCATTCAAGCACAAAAATATTCATTTAGAAGAACCTACAAATAATATAAAAGATAAGTTTAAATTTTCAAGAAATTAAATTTTATAAAAAAAAAAATGATTAAAGGATAAAAGAAAATCGTAAAACAAGAACAAATACATTTAACTATTGGTTAAATGGAATACTATAAAAAAGTTATGGTAGCTTTTAATCGTTCCAACTCGTTTAACATTTAAATCTACATAAAAACGATGTAAAAAACTCATTTTATTTCAGAAATATATTTAATTTAGATTTTTTTATTAAGCTAGAAAGCAGTCCAAAAATTAGAATCACTAAGAAATATATTAAATAATTAACGTTGCTGATATTTTTTGTATAATATTAATATTTTAACGAAATGTTCTATATTTAAAATATCACAATTTATAATTAATAATATTTTCCTTTCAATGTTCATATTTCCCTTTTACAAACATTTTCTGTTGGCCCTACCCTTTTATCCCATGGGCATCGAGAAATTCAAGATTCATTAATTTAGCATTTTCTCTGGTAAGGAAGGCACTGTAGCCTTAATTTACTTTCTTTTTTGGGTTATCACTTGCCAGAAACTTGAGGGAACTTTTGCCAAAATAGAAATAAAAATATAAATTCCCAAGCGCAGCTGAACTCTCTGGCCATGTGTGGCTAAATGCTGCAACCGAGAAAACACAAAAAACAATTTTGCTAAATGCTGGCGAGCGAAAAACTTGTAATTCAATTTTGAGGGGCCAACTTTTACCCAAATGCAAGCCAAATGTAATTAACACGCACACAGACACTCGCACAGCCAGCCACTGGAGCTCTCCTCTGCAATGGAGTGGCAAAGCGACTTGTTCACCTGCCAGACGAACCGCCAGTCGGACAGATAGAACCCGCCCAAGCCAGGCCCAGTTCGACCCAAGCCGAAGCCGAATCCCAGGCACAGGCCCAGGGCCACCTCAATCCCACGCCCATCTGGCTGCCGTCGATTGGGTTGGAGTGTGTTCAGGATCGCACTCTAACTCGTCGGCCGTGCGAATGGCCAAGTGGGTGGCGGCCTGCGTCAGTTACAGGCTTAATTGAGTTGTGTTCGCAGCATTTAAAATGGCCAACAGCGCTAACGATCCGGCTCGAAGTACCATGGAAAATATCAGAGCGTAAAAATTTTACTTTTAAATATTAAAAATCTAGATAATAATACTATTTATTTAACCTTACATATTATAAGTGTCCTATGACCATGATATTTTATATAAAAATTCCTTTTTTTAGTCAGTTTTACTTATTATGAAAAAATAATGTTTTAGTTGACTTAAGGTCTAAAGGTAGCCATAATTTAAGTCCACACAATTCAACACCCAACTTATTATAATTTTAATTAAGTTTGTTTTTGTATACTCGTTAAACTAACCATTTTTGTTTATTAACAAGCAAAAAATAAACTCATTACAACAAAGGACACTGCCAACGATCAGGTTTCATAAATATTAAATTCATAGAAAATTGGCTTGTTAAGGAAGCATAAATAATTTGCTAGCATGTACAGAAAAACATACCCATAATATGTATTTAAAATTCAACAGCCAAAAAAAAAAGGTCATGCTTTTACGAGATAAATATTAGTCTCTTCATTTCATTTAAATTAAACCAAAAACCCCAACAAAAATCTTGAAAAAATCATCAAAATAACCCACTGTACAAAAAGAGCGCCGGCAGCTCACAAAATTGGATTAAATGCCGACGATTTGCAAGCAAAATACCAGCCCCCCAAGCCCATGAACAGAAAAACACAAAATTTAAGCTAAAGTGGCCAAAATGAAATGTAGTGCTGTAGCCACGAATGAAAGCGAAAAGAATTTTTAAACAAACAGCCAGTTGTTGCACACATACAAACACACACGAAAAAAAAGAGAAGACCAACAGCTGCGGCAACTGTCGCATAAATCTAAACCATTTTTTAGCAAACGAACAAAAAAATAAACAAGAGCAACGGAGTCAGAGTCACAGTCACAGGCCGAGGACATCGGGACAAATTCGGTGATTGATGAATTGAGTGAACGTTACGCATACGCCATGTGGGCCGGGCAAAAAGTTGCAATAATTTCATTTAACATGCATAGCCAAACTGTCGCAGTTGCAAACGCAAAAAAAAAACGAGACTGATACCAAAGAGTCAGAGTGTGTTCCCCTCTCCCAGAACGATTCCCGATTTTAGTGCAATTTATGACGCTGGCCCACACACTCGTCACAACTGCCAAAGACCGTTTCGCAGGCCCTCTTATGTGTTCAAATGGACTCCAATGGACCCCAAACATCTCTATGCGCCGCAGTTTAGAATATATATATTTTGATGGGGCAAAATGGGCAGACTTGTTCGCAATTTAAGGAGTCGGGCAATGGGTTCTCCTCGTTCATGTATTGCAAATCCATTTTATTTGTTCGATACTGGAGGCGAAGGCTGAACTTTTTGATTACTGCTGCGGAATCGAAGTGGGCGGAACTGATGGCTGTGGCGGAGAGCAGGCTAATGCGATTTGCGCCTGCCTGCTGATTGTTACCGCCGATTTTCCATCGGCCACATCATTTGCCGTTTGCAGTTGCCGTTTTTCCAATAACATTATTTACTTAGCATTTGCATTTCGAATTTTGCATGCTGTGCATTGCCAATTGCCTGTGCAAACATATATGGTACGTAATGCCAAAAGGACAGTTGATTTTTACGTCTGCTGATTGTGTGTATGTGTGTGTGTGTGTTTTTATTATGTTGATTTGCTTCCAAATAATGTATGGTACAATTAATTTTGATATGGAAATCAAAGGGGGGTCACTGCAATCATAGCAAAGACAGAGTTGTTGGTGAAATGTGAACTCCTTGTGGCTCAAAATGAACAACAAGCAGGCAATCAACTGAGAAAAGTCTTATTATTCCATTTTAAGCATAGACAATGTTCAAAGTTTAATATTTAAACTGATAAAATTCCATTTTGTGGGAGTAGTTTTCATTTTTCCTTTTTTGGTACAGCAAAATACAAACTGTGAAACTTGCAGTCTCAGCTAATTTTTCCGAAAAAAAAACTCATAGTATGCATGCAAATATTCTAAAAGCATTTTCGGCTTTCGTTTTCTGAAACATGGAAAAATTTAAGAAATTTCTAACTACCCAGGTCTCAGCTTGGCGTTGCTAAAATGTTTGATTAAATTTTCATTCTCGAGAGCAACATTTTGCGGTTACTCATAAGCATTACACACAGGCCTTCTTGCCTGGGCTCAAAAGTTTGAAATCATTTGGGTTAAAATATGGCCCCCAGGTAAATGCGATGATGAGGCAATTTATTTGTGTTTATTTTTGGCATTCGCTTTTCCTGTTTCCTCCCTTTTTCTTTTTACTTCTTTGTCGATATTTTAGAGGGGGACCCTTGCCCTTGCGATGATTAAGTGTTCGCTGCCAGGGCCAAGTATTAATAAACTTGTGTAGCACTCGTGGCCAAAAAAAAAAAAAAACAACAACATGGAAGTGCAGGGCAAAGGAATGACCAACGAGACGCACAGCCCAGCTTGTAAAGGGAGCGACAATATAATTTAAATTTATTTAACAACCAACTTGTTAAAATCGTAAAGTGAGTGGGATGAAAAAATAAGGCACACACACACTCACTCACTGCCAGTGAAAACTGCACCCCAGCAGCATTAAGTAGCTCATTAAATTTCCTTAACCAACAGTAGAACACAACGCAAACAAGCCACTGGCAGACCAACTGACTTTTCCTTTTTATTTTGTAAGTAGGAAATATTATAGTAGAAAAACGGCGCCAAAAGAAATGAAATCGCCGGCGTTGTGTATATGGTTGTGGTTGGGGGGCGTAAGGGGCGTGCTGTTACGCCCCCTTAAAGCGAGCGAGCTGTAAAAAATCCCGTAAGTGTATTTTTATTGCGTATAAAATGCATTTTGCAATGCCACACAAAACTCAAGTGGTGAGCGTTCCGAGCGGAAGTTACGACCAGCGGCGCTAGGACCTTGCCACACACACATACACACCCACATAGAGACTCTCCGCTTTTTGTGGCCATGTCGGCGAGTTTATGTGTGCACCAAGGAGAAGAATCTTGATGTCAGAAGTTATGGACTACGAAATCGAGGAAGTCATAAGGAATTTCCTTACTCGTGCCTGTGTAATTTCTAAATAATATTCATTAAAGTCTACGCAATCAAGTGGAAGCAATCACAACACGGAAATAAAATGTGTAAATATTTATGGTTATGCTTAAGAGTCATAAATAACTGCACATTAAATAAGGCTTTATGAGTACTTCAAACCAGAGCAAGGTAGTTTCTAGAATGTATACATTTATATAATAAATAATTCTGAAAAGAATAAAGCCTCAATGGCTTGATGGCCAGACGACCAACCCCTTGAGGAAATAAATCTCTATTTAATGCACTAAAGTGTACACCAAATGTATTCATAATGTACGGTCTCTGGTAGTCAAGTCACCGCCAAGACTTAATCATACTTTCCCCCAAAAGCCAAGCTCTCCAGCCAGTGCAAATACCCCCTCAGAAGTAAAACAAACGAGTTGGCAAGCAATGATTGCTAAGCATTGCTACTTGTTGTTAAATATGTTGCACAAACAAACAACATTCATTACACAGCAAGTGGTGGTGCGGGTGCGGCAGGTGTGGGTGGTGTGCACATGGGGGAGAGGTGGGAAAATAAAGCCAGTGTTTACGGTGGGAAATTGGCTGTGCAGCGTAAAAGTCTAGGGATATTGTAAAAAGGTTAAAGTTAAGCAGGGCGTAGCGTAACCCCCGGGAATGTTCATTCAACCAAAACACCACCCATACGTTTGAGTAATAAAAACATATATTATAGGTGTTAAGATGTGAAAGTTAGAGATCAGAACCCTTTTCACCTCAGGGTTATACAGAGCATTATAAATCAAATAAAATTAGGGCTAACACAGCTCTTAACTAATGCACATTATACATACATGCAAGAACAGGCTGCTAAGGCACTTAAATGATGAAAAAGCCATTCGACTAAGGGTTCCCAGGGCGTAAGAGTAATATTAAGAGCACATTTAACTAAAAGTGATATAAATCTGTTTCCATCTAAAGGTTATTCGCTTGTCTGATGGAAATCCCGCTTACCTGGAGGATAACCAACGAGAATGTACAATAAAAATTATATTTAAATGCAAGGGCCCGTGGTGATCATGCATGATGGAAATCTCATTCACCCAGACGTTACACAGTGCGTATGAGTAATAAAAATACTTTGCCCCAAGAGTGCCTTGTGTGCGGGACTGTGGCTTGTCAGGCTTTAAGGTATGCATACTTTTCGGCTTTTTTGTAACTCTCTTGTCAAGCGCAATTAATTATAATTTTTTCTCTGGCTATTCTGGCAGCATATGTATGTATAAGCACGGACACAGGGTGTCGGCCAAACATTTTTTAAATTATATATATACATACATATATGTATTTATGTATATATAAGAGCATACACAGACTGGCAGCTCACATGTGCCGGAAATTGGCGCACACCTTGCAGCCATGCAGTGGCAAGAATTTTTTCCATAAGCATCATAAAACCTGGGAGTGACCGGACGATGGCCAGGCAGATTGGTTATACTCAGTGTGCGGTATATGGTGGTGGGCAGGAACCGAAGGGAGAGACTCGACGGCGTGCGGAAATTATAATTTATAGCTCAGAGCTGCGGATGCCGGGGCATTCACTGTGATTTTTTCCCCGTGTGCGGCGGGCTTTCCTTCACAACGTTGACTTTAAAATTGGTGCAACTTGGGCATTAATTGAAGTTGGCTATTAGAAATGACCAACGGTCCGGGGGCCGAAAGTCCACTCAGGCATGAATCATTTTCTATGGGAGTTTCAAAGTGTCAGAGCGAGCTGAGTGGTGGCAAAAAGAAACAAAGTTTCCAATTTATATCCTGTGTTTTTTTAATCCTGTGAGCGAGCAGAGTATGAATTGGGGCGGAATATATTCTTTGTGAGGCTAAAACTCATTTAGTTTGGTGCTTCCACAAAATGCTTTAGCCTGGCTTAAATGCTTTAAAGTGCTTCCGCTAGAATTAGCAACGATTAAAATATTCCACGCTAATGCCTAGGAAAACCAATGCCTGAACCAATGCCAAGCCTGAGTGCATTCACAGCTCTGATTACATACGATATATTTATGTATGTTGTGAGGCCTTGGCAAATTACTTTCAGCTGAGCAATTATTCATGACTGTTTATTCTTGCGGGCTATGCGAAAACAAAACAATAAATTGAAGAGGTAATTGATTAATTTTAAAGAAGAAATATCGCCACGGGCGGGATCCAGTTAAAGAGCTCACAATTTGGCCTGATGATGCCTAGCCATTGTTCTCGTTGCATAAACATTTGTTAAGTTGACCTTTTTCAGGTGTTTACACAGCGCAAACAAGACTCCACTCAACAACACAACACAAAAAAAAATGGCCATAAAATAGCTTTTGACAAATGACGCACTTCCTGTCAGCATACACATGAAAAAACACACACAGACACACAGATGCAGAGCACTTGTCTCCTATCGGATACTTCTGAAAAAAAGGTCACAACAATTGGACCACGTTTAAACATTAAATCTTTCACATTGTTGCACAGTTAAACAATAAAATAATTCATTTATTGTTTGAATTTATTTATGAGTCTGCCTATCAAATATTTAATATGCAAATTGCGGCTATTTGTTTAAATGCAATTTAGTGAAAAGCGAGAAAAACGAGACTCGATGAAGACTTCAGTCGGAACTAAAGTCCATATGTTTAATTAGTAATTCAGCTTTGTGGGGGAAAAGATTTAATTGTAGATGCTCAGATTTCTGGCATTTTTTTTTCTTTTTGCTAAATTAATTTCAGTCCGAAGCACAGAAAACCGAATTAAATGAATTCGATGCATCGCTAAATTAAATTTATTGTTTGCGGCATTTTTTGTTTGAACTAATTAGCTGGAGGTGGCACGGCGTCCGTATAATTGCAATAATAAATGTGCTAATTAAACCATTTTGAAATGAGAGTAAATAGCATAACTGCCTGTGCATTCCTCAGCTCAGTTTTGTTTTCATGAGATAATCCACACGCTTCCTTTCCGTGGGAGTTAGCTTAAAGAATTTGGAGACGAAGTTATGCAGTTCCCACTTTGTATGCAAAGGAGGCCAACTGGTTTTATAGCAAAGGATTCTGTAAGGCAGGAAAACTTTATGATTTCACTTAAAACTTTTTCGGGGCTCTTACCTTTTCAGGTAGTACTGGTCGCGTACATTGGGTTGATTGGCAATAAAGTGTTCCATTTCCAGCTTGAACTGCTTATTGTACTTATAGTTGGCCTCACGATACCGCTCATCGCAATTTAGATCACTAAGATGAAGAGATGGGTCTTAAGACTGTAAATCATTTAGCATTTTATACAGACTAGACCATAAGATTGTAGCTGGGATGCAAACTGACGTCGGCATCGTCATTGAACTGGCTCTTGGGCTCACACCACGTATCCAGATATCTCAGGATATGTGATTCATAGCGAGAGTTCCGTACTTTCAGTCTATTGAGGAATAGCTCCACCTTTTTGGCCTTCTCTGCCCGAACCTCCTCGGGCACTTTCAACAGTACATTTTTCCGCTGCTCCATATTGAATGACCTAGTGTTAGTAAGACTCCTTTGGGTAGGTTTCTTGAAGACGTTCGACATTGTACAAATTTTTTACTCTTCAAAGGGAATTTGTAACTGTGTTTGAGTTATTTTAAATGGCAATCCCATATCCGAACAATTAATACTTTCATAAATACCTCGCATAGCTGTCACTACCAACATCCTTGGAGAATTGCTTTTAAGCCCCCTGGTGTTAATTAATAATAATGGAAATATCTGTGAGTATCGTTCAGATTTATCAGAAGATATCTGGAAATGTGACACTCTGCCGCATTTTATTTGCACAGCCATTCAGATTGGCATTTCAAAAATCACTCATTAATTTTTTAATCAACAGTCAGACTTGCGCAAAAGTGTGGGAAATGAAAACAAATAAAAATCTGCTTTAAAAATATTTCGCATATATTTAATGCAGAAAATTGTGTGTGCAAAGGAAACGTATGGAAAATGAAAATATTAAAATTAGGGATAACGAATTTTATATACTCAGTAGGGGAGAAGAAGTATAGATTCTAGTACATATATATAATTAATAACCATAATAAATAAATCAATAAAATTATATATAAATTCATTCTTTCTTTTTTTGTGTTGCACAATTGATTACATCTTAGCATATACAAATTTATAATAAAATCCATATTTTATATACTATCTGAACTTCAACTTGTTATATTTATTGACTCACTCCGTATGCGAACAATTAATCTGATTGAAAATCCCCACCAATGATTAAAGGAAAATACTTAATAAGATGGATGGCATGTCGGTAATTCCTATATCTGTACCCTATAACTGGGTATATACGAAAATCAGGCTGAAAATTATTTCGCACATTTTTGCGGCATTAAATATGCATTCGGGCGTTTAATTTCATTTTCGCAACCAGGTCCAGATCCATTTCCATGATGACGAAACTGAGCCATCGGCCGAGTGTCGAGAGCCGCAGAAGTGGCCCATCGAGAGAGGGTAGAACTCTGGTCCCGACAGGAGGAGACCTGGCCCAATGTTTGGCCAGCAAAAACATGGCCGCAAATGCTGTGTCTATTAAGGGCACATTTAACCAAAGCCCGGGCTCTGGCACGTGTGCAATGAAAACAAACGAGCCCATTATTGTTACACTTTTCCTTTGGCCGTGTCCGACTGGCCGGCAGAAAACCCCATTAATGATGTGTTATGGCCTCAAGAGGCTGGCCTAGACGATCCTTGAACTCTGACCACCGGCCAGAGCCTCTGAATTGAGCTCTAATTGCACATAATGAATTGCACACATTAGGTCAATGAACAGTCCGGATTGGCACAAAGTGCCTAATGGAAATGCAATGAACTATTTATGGACATTAGCCATCGACCATCCGGCAATTGGCAAAACTTTGCTCACGCACTCTACCTATTAAAGCCTGAAATTCCCTTAAAAGGACACACGGAATTTGCGTTGGCTTGTTGGCAAACATTTGTGGCCACCACCAGCAAATTGACAGCGGCGTCCCCACGGGCTTCTAATGACAAAATACTGACTAAAATGTTAACAGCAAATCCAATTTATTACCCCAAACATTAATTAGCAAACCGGACACGTAAAAGGTATTATGTGCAAACTCAATCTGGCCGCCACCAGGGAGAGTGCTAAATCGCAGAGTGTAGATCAAATCCGATGACACGCCGCAAGCTTTATAAAATGGGAAAGCATTTTTCCGGAAAAAATATGCACATTTTATTTCCACCCACTTTAATCGATGGCATTTTAAAGCTACGGCGATTTTATTCAATAGAAATTTCTCGCCACATTTGCGAATATTTGCGGACATTATAAATGTCCGTCATAAAAAAGTACTCAAACGATAAACAATAAAAATGTCGAGGGCCAATGAAAATGTAAACAGCACTTAATGCCATATGCTAGGGGATTACAAGTGTAATTATATGCAATTTTCTGACATGACACAACAAACCAGAAAAGTTCTTTTAGCTGCAAATTGATTTCAGTTATGCCATTCAGTCCATTAAGGAATTACGTTTATTCTGCACTCTGCCAATATTATCAGAAATACATATATCTCGTTACTTAAAGGTAACTGGGCGGCTGTCAATGCCAAAGTTAAACATTTTCACTTATGTGTGTCGGAGCCAAGTATTTCATTTTGTCACACAATTTTCCATTTTAAGCCCTCGTCGCCCAAACGTAACTAAGTCCGGCAATCCAGATATAATCTCTGTCAAACTCGCACACATTTGCCCAGCTGTTTGAACAACTCAACTGAGACTTAAGAGATTTTGCAGCAGCAGCAGCAGCTTCCTGCTTTTGTTTCTGGCCCGGGTCGGGTGGGTCCTTGGTCAACTTTTAATTTATTTGATAACTGCAAAATTGTGCACCTTTTTGGGTTGAAGGAGCACACACAGATGACTTTTGTATAGTTTTGCAGGCAATTAATTTCAGCCATGGCGTCTCCGAGCATTATTCACGTCAAGGCGAACATATTTTAATTTGATGAAGACCTAATAGTGTTTTGAGCATATGCTCAACAGAACAGAGCTGAACAGAGCACAAAACTTGTGAAAGGGAAAAACTTTAAATGCAAATGAGTTGGCATATGGTGACTACTGAGTACTGAGTAAGGACATCAACTCTCAGCACAGAGTATACCGAATGTCTGATGGATCCGGGTCGAATTCTGTTCAAGGAACAACGCACCCACATTCCACCGAGTCATCAGGTTAATTCAATTTGAGTTGTAAGCAAATTTCGCACAAATTAAATGCATAAACTTTTCCCATTGACAGACACACATGCCAGCAGCCGAGAGCCATAAATTTGCCAAGTGTTTATGTAAACGACCCCGATTGTGTCGGTTGCGGATTGTGAGGAGCGGAAAATGAAAGCCATCGTCTGGCTGCACTTTGTCACCAGGCATGCGGAACATAATGCCGATTTTTTCGCCTGGAAAACGGATAGGCAGAGGAGGGCTGGGCTCTAGGCAGGACTCGACAGAGTCGGGCCGGGCTCGGCAAGGCGATAATAAATCTTCCGCTTGGAACAAATCACAGCAATTCCATTATATACACATTTAATGATGTTGCCAGAGAAAGCCGCCAGATCCGAATCCAAATCCAAATCCAGAGCACCGAGCCAGAGACAATTACTTGCAGCCCGCGAGCAATTTCTACGGCTTTATGCACTGAGAAATGTATTTTTTTAGGGTCGTTTTAAAGAGTGCAGGTCATATTTTACAAGATTAAAGAGTGATTTAGTTTAATTACCAAATTCTTGGGTATTTGTTAATATATAAGACAAGATTATAAGGTCATATACTGTAGAATATCTTTAAGAAAATAAAAGAAATAATTGTTATATATATTTAAGAAATAGTAGTAGAAATTCCTAAGACTTCTTTCTTCCTGTATTCGTTGCTTATTTCCTGTATTTTTGTTTTTTTTTTATATATTCATGAAGTTTAATTTATAAATTAAGTACAGCAACAAAACCAATTACTTATCCTCATGGCAAAAGATTTTACCACGCTTCTTTCAAATTTAAATTTATTTAAATGAATTCTTAAGGAAACAATCAAGTTTGGTACCTTCAAAAACTATAGTTTTCTCTGTGTAACAATGGCGAGAATGGCTGTCCTGGCTTTCAGCGAGTGCAACAACATGGCCAAGTTGTTAAAATAATCACAAGGAATGCCCGCGCCGACCTGCTCAGGGGAATTCCGGCTAACAGAAGGGAAGGCCGGCGAGCTGCTCAGGCAAAGACAAAGTTGCGCTGCAGCTTTGCTATTGCGATTATTTTTAATTAGCAAAATTTCTTTATGCATCGACAGTGGGGCAGGAAAGGTAAAGACAAAGTCTTTCATTAATTAGAGCCAGCAGCCAAGTATATGCAGTGCATCCCGCAAGCTGGAAAAAAAAAGGGGAGAATAGAGGGCGGCGGCGGCGGCACACACATGCTCACTTTCGTCACGTCACCTGCCCAACCTCAACGTCATCACCTGTGCTTTATATTTACCCATAAATCTGACGCGAAATAGAAACAGGTGGCACAGAAAAAAGGGCAACTAGAAAAAGGAATTTTCCTTGGGGAAAATATTTTGCAACGAAGCTGCTTATTAGCTTTGACATTCGAGTGCGATGCACTCTGGCCAGAGGTGTTTCGCTTGATGTTTTGCAATCTTCTTTTTATCATCCGCATATACATCATATTTTTAGGGCTCGCATAAAACATGGCAACGGCGGTGGCAGCAGCATAATTTATTACACTCTTGCATGTTATTTTTAAAGTTGTGTCAAAAAAGGAGTCAAGGGTTAGGGTATTCTCCTGAAAATGTATCGTTTCTATCCTAAGAAATTTGCATTGCTAAATAATTGATTGGCGTTATTATGTGTGTTTTTTAGTAGCCAGAATACCATAAATTTTATAAGTATTTCCCTTCAATATTTTGTAACATTCTTTTTTGACTGCCCGAAGAGCTAAGTAACTTTAATCTGTTTGAATGCTATTATCTGGAAAATATTTTCCATCCTTTATCCATTCCTGTCAAACTTTTAAACTGCCCAACAGGTATTTGATATTCAATGCACTCATCCCTGTTATATATATATATTTTAAACAATGTCATGGCCTCCCGCTTACTTTGTCAGCAATATTTTTTGGGAGTATGTGGCATGGAAATACATAGTTGTCTTCAAGTTTTTGTGATAAAAGTGTGTCCTCTGTCTGCTGACCTCGATGCGACAAGTTATGTCCGACTTTCAGGCTCTGCTGGATTCTCGCCGTAGAGGAGGAGTTGCTTCATCCGTTGTAGCGCCATAACCATAACCTCAAGCCAGGCATCGAGTAGCCAGCTAACCGAAAATATCATAAAACTTTTCAACTTTTCCATTCCACTAAATGCGAAAGGCCAGAAGGGGCTCGGGCTCGGGCACGGTCTCGGACTCGAGGAGATGATTGGGATAGCAGCAGTAGCTTCTGGGCCATGTCAAAAATGTCCCGAGTCCCGAGTCCCGAGTACGGAGTCCTGTGTCCTGGGTTCCCAGTCCTGCTGCACGCACCTCCGGGCGGCACTCTGATTTATGAAATTTACCAAAGCACCAGGACC